AATTTTGACATATTATTAGGGTGTGTGTGTCTGCATGCACATGCATGGCGCTTGGGAATGAACCTAGAACCCTTCTGCATCTGAGGTAAGTGCTCATTATCCAACTATATTCTAAACATCATTTTAATCTTCATTTTGAGGCAGGATCTCAACATAAACTGCCAGGAAAGACTTGACCTACCTCAAAACCCAAGAATGACCTGAGCTTATGATCGTCTATGAATAGACGATCATATTAGTTATATAAAGACTTAGGTTGATTTTACAATACTTCTGTGAAAGTGTGTTAGCAAAGTCACTGAGCAGAATACAATAACATGAATTTCTCTGCACACTACTGAGTGCTCTTCATATGTACAATTCACATTTTGTCTTAAAGCAGATGGGCCTGATAGCACCCTCTTGTAATCCTTGTCCCTCTGGAAGAACTAGGTGGAGCAGACACTCAGTGTTCTGGGGATTGAAGAACAGAGTATCAAAACCAGAACTCTGTCACTCAAGTGGGAAACGGCAAGTGTCATCTTTACTGAAGACCTGAATGACCAGGTAGAAGCAGTCATGCAAATATCCACGAGGGAACAGCATGAGTCATAAGGGAAAAGATGTCAATTCTGAGAAATGGCAGGAAAAGCTGCATCGGAGACGAGGACAGAGATAGAGGTGGACACACCACTGCATCTCGGAAGGCCTGATAAGGTCTGGATTTTGTTCTGAATGTGAAGAGACAACCTGACTTCAAGAGAAGCTTCCCAGGCAGCAAGAGAAGTGAGGAGGGGCAGGTGAGTTAAGAGGGTACTGCGGGGCACAAGCAGGAAACAGATCTGAACTAAGGTAGTACCAGAAGAGGTGACATCTTTTGCTACCTGGAGTCCCTCACATAAATCTTCAGGTTGGTTTTACGTTGTAGGGCTGAGACGGTCACTAAAGTGTGATGTGGGAGTGTCATATATCAATCTGTTGATTTCATTGGTTAAGTTATAATAAACCAGCTGCTTGGCCTCATGGCTTGGAACATAGATGGGAGGAGTAAACAGAATAGAATTCTGGGCGGAAGAGGAAGTGAGGTCAGACTCTGCTCTGCTCTCAGAGAGACCCGAAAGCTCTGCTGGAGCAGAGACGCCATGCTCAGCCCTCCCAGGTAGACTCAATAGCTCTGCGCTCTGAGGCAGACGCATGAAGCTCAGACTCATGATGGACGGAGGCTAGAATCTTCCCGGTAAGCGCACCTTGGGGTGCTTACACACATTACTAGAAATGGGCTAGTCCAGGTGTGAGAATTAGCCTGTAAGGGCTAGAGTTCATGGGCCAAGCAGTTCTTTAAATGAATACAGTTTGTGTGTTGTTATTTCGGGCATGAGCTAGCCAAGTGGCTGGGGTGTTGGGGACGCAGCCCTGCAGCTCCATATTTCAACAAAAGTGCGTGATCAGGGGTGTGAAAGGAACAGCTCTTTGGCAGCTTAGTAAGAGCCCACCCTCACTGGACCGTGCGTGTGAAGCAGACTGCATATCTGCGAGCCTTTTCTAAGCACAGGGAATCAGATAGTTTGGAATTTGTTTCCATGCAGCCACTGTTTTTGATCACACAGAAAATAAGACAAATGGGACAAAAATTTAAAAGTGTGTCTTTTAATGCAGCTGCCTCTAAATTTAGTATGGAATCAAACCTTGCCACATTCTACTTCAAGCCAATAAATGGAATTTTTTCAATGCGTGAAACCTTTAACAAGTAAAGATCTCTAACCCCAAAACTTGAAAATACACACAAATAGTGCGAGTAGTTTTACGGTCTGCAGTGATGACGTAATGTGAACGTCGCACAGGGGCTCACATACTTTAATACTGGCCCCCAGCTGGTGGAACTGTTTGGGAAGGATTAAGAGACACGAACCTGTTGGAGGAGGTATATGGCTGGTGGTGGACTTTGAGGTTTCAAAGGCCCATGCCATCTTAACATCTCGTCTCCTGATTGTGTTTCAAAATGTAAGCTCTCAGCCACTGCCTGCCATACCTGTCTACCTGCTGCCATGCTCCCTGCTGCAGCGGTCACGGTCTCAACCCCTGGAGCTGTGAGATGCTGCCTTGGTCATGGTGTCTACAGTAATAGAGATAACAATGAAGACACTGTGACATGAACCTCCCTGCACTGTGCTGTCTCAGTACCTGATACTGAGATGTGAGGTGCCTACATCGGAAGTATAAAAGCAACAAGAGAGTACATGACTTATGGAAAAGAACTACTAAGAATAAAAATGCCTATAATAAATTAAAACTTTAAAAGGTAATTATCTTAGAAAATGTGGAAATAAAGAAAAGGAGGATTATTAGTCTTAAAGGAAAACTAATATATGGCATTTCTTTTCAAAAGCACTCAATTTCAATCTTCTGAGATTTTAAATTATTTCAAACACTTTAGGCATCTTGGTGTTAGGACAGGGACATCAAAGAATGGAGTCCTTACCCTAGCAATAGCAGCTTAGTTGTGAATCCCATCTGAAGCACGAGTAACAGCTACTCAGCAGCATGCTGAAGAGGACTGAAGGAGATTAAGTTCTACAGACCCCAGAGAACACTCACAGCTGAGGGACTATTAGCACTTCCTTTATCTCCTTTTCTCTTCTCACAGCCAGGCACTCACTGTGCTGGGGTTGCTTGGACAGGGCCGTCTGAAGAGAGGAGACTAAGCTCGCAGTAGTGAGCATGGCAGTCGCGCCAGCTTTGATCAGTAGTTTCTAAATGTAATCCTTATTCTCCTGGACTGTGTAACACCCTTGAGGAGAAGGGAAAATCTTTTGAGATTCTCTAGCCTAGCTAGCCAGTAATATTTACATAAAGAGAACACACTTTACAAGATTAAAAGGCATTAAGTATACTTTGGATCAAAAAAAGGGGGCTAGAGAGGTAGCTCAGTTAGAAGGCACGGGGTTCAGTCTCTATCACAAACAAAACCCACAGGGACAATTCACATACTATGCTTTAAGACCAAGTATTGATAAATCAATGTATTACAGGGTAAGATTCACCTTTTTTCCAATTATTGCTTATTGACTTCACTTGTGGTACTGGGTAATATACATACATACATACATACATACATACATACATACATACATACACACACAATATATATATATATAACATAGAAAACTTTTATAACTTTCACAAATTGCAGCCAAGTTCTGAGTCTCTCTGCAGCAGGGTCTGGCCTACTGTTCCGCAGCGAGAGCTTTAAAGATGCTCAGTGCAGCTGTGCTCCACAGAGACAGCAGCCACCACAAGAAGCAACTGCAACGTGCGTGTCCTTTTGGGTACCTCACACACAGCCACCCCCAGGAAGGCCTGAATATTCTCACAGCCGCAAAGGAAACAGAGCTACTGAACACAGAAAGGCTACCAGCATAGCTCTCCTCTGCACCACTTCAGGAAACTTGGTCACATTCAATCTTGGCAAAATTTCTCACACTACAAAACATGAGTGAACTGAAACCATCATTCCAAAATGAAGGAAACAGCCCATTTAATAATCCATTCTCTAGATGACATTTAGCTCCACCACTCCTTCTCTACAGTCGGTCATCCTCATTCTGTCCCCTTCCTCGTGTTTTCTGTAACTCAGATCTTACAGTCCTGATTTTTAAAGCAGGTGTAAGGCCCTGAGGCGTACCTCAGCTTTGAATTCAACTCTAAACCTCCAGGGCCCACTTCCTCCTTCTTCACTTGCCATTCGCACATCTCCTAGCACCTCAATGAAGGAGGCAGCTGTCAAGGAGGATTCCTACCCAGCCTCAGGATGCCACGTCCATGTGCACACGCACTCACACACATGCAAATGCACACACTCAGGAGCACACACATGAAAAGGAGGAAAAAAGAATTTCTAAAGGAAAGCATCTATTCAGGAAAAGAGACGAAGGCTGAATGTATCCACTCCGGTATTCACTAGACAACCTACTCAAGTTTCTGTGAGGGTCAAGGAAAAAGGATGCCACTGAGGATGAAACCGATGCAGCGCATCTGAATTATCTTGCATCTCATTCATCTGCATCACCAGTCTTTCCCAGCCCTGCTATAAGAATGTTTTGTTGGAACAGGCACTCTATAGTACACCACTTTTCCACCAAAAATCTTCCAATATCTCCCCACACACATTTAGAGGCTGAGCACATAGGACAGTTCTTGGCCCTAGTATACAGCAACACACAGGAAAAAAACAAAATCACTGCCCTCCTGGACTCCAACTTTCCAGCAAGCAAATGCAAATGATTTAAACACAAATGTGCAGCAGTTTTAGATACTATAGTTATAAGGTAAATCAAAAAAGACAAGAGGAACAAGGAGAGTCCAAGACAGGCTAAGAGTTTGATTTTTAGATGGTTATTAGTGCTTGTGTACCTTCCTAATTTTTTTTAATCTCTACATTTCTATTCTTTCTAAGCATAAAATTACAGAGAGAAATGTATTCTAACAAGTTTCTGTTATAGAAAACCTATGGATAATCTCAAAAATTACAATTTTAATAACAGAATGGCTATTGTTTAACTTGTAAAAGACTGTATCTTACAACTGCATTCTACTAATTTCCTAAGCTTATTAAAAATCCTGTTGATTAATTTGCTGAGTTTGGGTAGGAACAAATACCTTTCAATATATACAACTGTTGGTCATCTATACTCCAACAGTGGCTGGAAAAGTCTGTATAGATTTTCCTTTCTTCAAAGCTTTGGCTGTTATGGTCAACTACCTCCCAGGGAAGATAATCTGCTCTCTTACCTCATGGTAAGTTGATAGGTTCCATATGAAGGCAGGCTTATCAAACCAAGCACTCTGTTAACTGTAACACAATCTATCTACCTTGATCAGTTATTCTAAGACATAAAAACATTTCCAAAGATTTAGGTGCTTTCAAATTACTTGTGTGATGACTCTCCTTGGAATTTTAATGAACTAAATATTCTTAAAAGCAGGAATATTAGGACTTCTATACCACTCCCCTTTAAAAATACCTCCATGGTGATGTGACAGGCTCCCTCCATTGGCAAGGATTTCATCTCTAGCAGCTGCCTGTGAATGGAAACAACACACAATGTTGTTGCTATTTGGATTTCACTTTGGAGTGACCAAGTGTACTGACTTCTCCCCAGATGCCCAGGAAGGTGCCAAGCAATGTGTGTGACCCCTGCATCCATTTCCACTGCACAGGCGGCAGCATTCTATGGAGCACAGCTCTAGTCCAAGCACATGGATGGGGAGGACAAGAGGGAAGGAGGGAGGAAAAAAAAAATCACCCCAAGTTTCTGTTTTGTCCCCTTGCTTAACTTCTAACATGTTAAGCCCTAACCATCTTTATGGCATGTACCTGTGTTGAAAGATAAACACATTACAAAAGACAGAGTATGTACACTGAAGGAGACGGAACCTGGGGCTGCCTTGGACCTGTTTCCCTTCGTCCCTACTTAAGCTCTGGCATACTTTTAACTTTTCTTTTTTCTTTCAGTTGAAAAAAAAATTAGGTTAGTATATGAAGTGATGAGTTTCATTATGGCTTTTCATGTATATATTTCATTACATTTTCTATTCTTAATGATTTGCTAATAATAATAGCCACAAGGTGCATATGTCCTGTGCCGTGAGCTTCTCAGACATACTCATGTCTATAAAGCTATCAATGGTGGCTGAGGCAGAAGACTGCCCAAGTGGAACATATGGACTACACCTCATTGCAAATTACTGTGAAGGAACCAGAGGTCTTGAGAGCTGAGGTTTCCTATGTAGTCATAAGTAGTATAATCATATGCTAGTCTTTGCTCTAGAGCTTGACATTTCTAATAAATCACTTCAAATAAAACAGCTCCATGAGATCAGGAATTAAGTGAGGAACAGAGCTGGAAAAATAGAAATCATTTCAATTTGTGGACTCCAAGAAAGGAGGTTTTGTTTGCTTTGTGTTGAAATGATGCTGTTTAACCCTGGCTGGCCTGGAACTTAATTTGCAATCCAGGCTGAACATCAAGCTTGCTGCAGTCCTCCTGCCTCTACCTCCCCTGTTCTTGAAAATACAAGGGTGCACCACCATGCCCAGCTAAGCAAGGCATTTTCACAGCCAGGTCAAAAAGATAGAAATATGCTCAGACCTCTGGCCAGGTGAGATTCCTCAGTGCCTAATGACACCTGCTGCCAAGTCCGACCACCTGATTTTACCCCTGGGACCTGTATGGTGGAAGAAACAGCCAACTCCCTCCAGCTTATTCTCTGCCCTCCATGTGTGTGGCACTGCATACATGTACCTGTACACACACACACACCTCCAAAAACATACAAAATATACTAAAACTTTGGAGGATGATAGATTATCATTGGCAGATACATAATCAACTTAAAAAACTAGGGCCCCTGTGTGTCTAAGTAACACATCTACTATGGTTTCTTCTAGTTTTGTGGAGGAATCCTACGTTGCTTCTAACAAGCAATATTGCCGTCAACACCCATGTCTACAAAACCAGCAGCTGAAGGCCACTTAAGAAGTGTAATTGAAACTGCTAGCAAATGAATCCCAAGGACTTTATATACAGTCATATCATATGAAAATTCACAAGCATGGGAATATATTACAATGACACAGACCAAGAACATGAGGGTTGCTGACTTCAAGAGCAGCTACCACCTGGTCTGCCAAAAGGACATCAAAGACCCCTGAGGATATGAAATTCCCGTTCTTATTTAATTGACTATAATGCACTGAAAGTAACAACCCAAGAGACACAGGCTTCAGGAATACCTAACATTAACTTCAGACTGACAATTTGGTAAGTAAAAACAGTGGACTTAACATACATTTCATTTCAATGGGCTAGCAGCCAGGCAAACCATGTGTCACTAAGGTGACTCAAACTAAAATCCCTAAGTTGGCACTAAAATTTATTTAAATTAATAAAAGAACATAAAAGCCATATGCAAAATTACCTCAGTTTGCTCAAACACAGTCAGTGGGTCACTAATTCCCCTGTAGTTAAAGGCAAAATAGAAGTAGATACATGCACCTGCATCATACGTCTGCGTCACCCTGAAAGACAAACAGACAAAATCCCACAGGGCTCTAAATTCAGTGAAAACAGATTGAACATCTAGAAATGTCAAAGATAAGCTCACTGGGCAATCTGCCCCAGCCACACCCTCACCCTCTAGTCAAACTCCCACTGCCAGGGAAACTCACAAGCTCTCCTCAGACAATACAGGGCACTTTACAGAACACAGGAGCAGAAGTGAGGAATGCTGACAAATTTATTCTCAGTTAAGTGACATTTAAAAGGGCACACATCTTCAAACACAATTAGTATAATTTAACTACCTTTGTCATACTAGGTAGAGACACCGGAAGAATGTGGAGATAGATAAGTAACACCAAAAGCTTTATGCAGCTTAAAAAGCAGAATAGCAGGTCAAGCAATAATAGTAAATACTGGTTTTTAAATTGTAAGAATCATACTATGCAACCATGTAGGATACTGATACTGGGGAAAAGGGACCAAGGCAGTATATGAAATCTGATGGTTACTGCTTAAGTCTAGAGGCATCTAGACGATGTGCCCCTGGATAGGCCTGTGGGGATAACTGAGACTGTGTCAACTGACACAGGAAAATTCACCTGAATTCAGACAGGCCCATTCCCTGGGCAGAGGAACCCGGACTAAGTGGAGAGTTGGAACTGAGCAGCAACAGCATTTATCCTGGTTCCTAGCTGTGGCTGTGATGTGAGCCTCTCCCGGAGGCCCCTGCTGCCTTGACCTGCTCACCAGAAGGGTTATCTCAAACTGTGAGCTAAAGCAAAAATCTCCAATCTTAGGTTGCTGTTATCAGAGTATTTTATCACAGCAGCAGGACAAATACCAACACAACTATACTATTCTGCAACTTTTGTAAATCTAGATTATTATCCCTTCAAAGTTAAACAAATTTTAAAGTAATGCAACTGCTTTTCTAGTTGACCTGAAATGAACACAACGTCCATCTTCCTCGGGTGGTAAACAACACTTCCCAAACAGACTTGATGGAATGTGGTGATGAGTTACAAAGCTTCCAGACTTCTTAAAGTTAACAGAAAGAAACATGGCACACAAGTAGGAGAAATGCTCACACACCAAACAGGATCAGACTTAAATACAGCCTCTTCACAAAGCTCACCATCATTAGAAAGGCCTTGAAAAACCAATGAATGACGAGCTCAAATGCAGTGGCGCCTATGACTCCATGTGTGTGTTGTATGTGTGTATACAAAGGGTATCAAGGATGTTAGGTTCTTAAATCATCTATGCAATAAATATCTACATTTCAAAATGCAATTGAGAAGCATGTAAAGGGAGTTGGGACAACCACAGTCAAATCTCCAAGTGCATACTATGGAGAAACAACAAAGGGCTTGATCTAACAGAATGACAGCTCAAACAGAATCTAATCTAAAATTGTAATGGTCTTTTAGGCCAAATGTTAGGTGCCTCAGAACAGAAGAAATGAACTGTTTAACAATGCTATGTCAATTTGCCAGCTGTGTGTTTTCTTCCTGTGCTAATTCACACTCATAAAAAAGATCCCTTAAACATTTACATTTTAAGTTCCAGATTTACAAGTGTAAGAAAACTGGATGGGGGCTGGAGAGACGGCTCAGTGGTTAAGGGCACTAGCTGTTCTTCCAGAGTACCCAGGTTCAATTCCCAACACCCACGTGGCAGCTCATAACTGTCTGCAACTCGAGTTCCGGGGATCTGATACCCTCACATCAACGCACATAAAATTAAATAAATTATTAAAAAGAAGAAAGAAGAGAAAATCAGAGAAGTATTTGTATTTTACTAAGAGGTGCTGTGATCAGGAATAACCAAGTTTAAAACAAACCTTAAAAATAAGTCAAGTGTGTTTATAGCAATTAAGAGTATACACTGCTCAGGAAAGAATCATTAACATCAGTACATAGAATGTGTAACTAAATTTGAATAGAACATTGCTACTGTGTTGGCTAGTTTTATGTAATTGTGACTCTCATCATTTGGGAAGAGCAAACCTCAAAATGTCCCCCACAAATTGGCCTATCATACATTTTCTTGACTACTGATTGGTGTGGGAGGGCAAGCCCACTGTGGGTGGTATCACCCTTAAGCTGGTGGTGGTCCCAGTTGTTATAAGAAAACAGGTTGAGGAAACCAGTGAGCAGGACTCCTGAATCAGTTCCTACCCTGACTTCCCCCAGTGATAAAGTGTGACCTTTCCTCTCCAGGCTGCTCTGTTTATCATAGCAGTGGAAATCCTAAGACAGCCACCTTTCAACAAACGCAGGATCACTAGATTACCCAGTTTAGCATTTGCATACAAGAACACTACTAAAGTCTATAGCAAATATGATGGTCTAACTGATTTAACCAAACTTGGCCTAACTCACAGTGTAAACAATGACAGACAGAGTGTGAAAAGATGAAACTGTTGCTAAAGAGTAGAAGGGGCCTTCACTCTTCAATACATTCTGTCTCATAGCAACTCCTTAAAAGTGGCCATAAGAGTTGTCATGGTGACAAGATAGTAGGCAGGCCGATTCCTGGGATGGAACAAAATCTCAAGTTTATTTCCCAGGCTGAAGTGAAATTAATCAGAGAAACAAGGATTGCAAGCAAAAATACAGATAACCCTGAACTTAATGACAGAGTATGCAAAAAAAAAAAAAAAAATCCCACTGCAAGGTGAAAATGCTGTGTGTTGGATATATCTAGTTATCAAACACGATAGCTCAGCAGACCACAACTGTGCTCACACGCCTGCAGCAGTCAACAGCTGGGAAAGTCGCCACGATGCACGCCTGTTCACAGTACAAGCCTAGCCGCCGTGTGTAAGTACTGCATGTTGTACTAGACTGACAGAAGACGGTGTGCTTTAGGCCCATCACCAGTCTAAGCACCAGAGACAGGCTTCCACAGGAAACACTTGCTCCTCAAGTACACCACACTACCTCCAAGGTAGCCCTTCAAGGTTCTCTCCTTGTAATCTGAATGTCATTTATTCTCCATTTTAAATTACTTTAATACCTTTCTAGAGAGTCAAATGTTCACCTGTCTTGACACTTTTAACCTGGTGTATACATATAAAATTAACACTGTAAGACTAGAAGCAAAGGTTCCTTCTCAGAAAAGCTTCATTTAGAGCTGCTGTTATTTAATAAAAAGAATAAAATCAGTTAACCAATCACTGTTCAATATGAAAGGTATTGATTGCAAATTATTTTTTTAAACTTAAAATATATATTTTTTAATTTCACACAAGCAACATTTCAATCACTTACTAACCAGTGTGGCTTGTGGCTACCACACTTAACAACAAACATATAACATATCCCTGTTACCAAAGAAACATTTATTGGAAAGCAGCGAGGTTATCACTTGAGTCTTTCACTCCTTTCATTCTTCATGCCATTCCCATGGATTTAATCAATAATGAAAAGGGTTACTCGCCCCCAACACACAAACGCACACACACACATGCACACAGATAGACGGAATATTTCTACAGTTTATAGTTGTCCTCCACCTGGAGTTTGCAGCGTCAGGGAGCAGGAGAGGCTTCCTTTGCCCGGGAGCTGGCTAAGTGATGTGGGAGTGTCATATCAATCTGTTGATTTCATTGGCTGAGCAATAAAAGAAACTGCTTGGCTGGCCCTGATAGGTTAAAGCATAGGTGGGAGGAGAAAACAGAATAGGATGCTGGGCGGAAGAGGAAGTGAGGTCAGACTCTGCGCTGCTTTCAGAGGGACCGGACAGCCGCCATGCTCTGCTCTCCCAGGCAGCTGCAACCCACGATGGACTTAGGCTAGAATCTTCCCGGTAAGCGCACCTTGGGGTGCTTACACGCATTATTAGAAATGGGCTAGTCCAGGTGCGAGAATTAGCCTGTAAGGGCTAGAGTTCATGGGCCAAGCAGTTCTTAAATGAACACAGTTTGTGTGTTGTTATTTCGGGCATGAGCTAGCCAAGCGGCCGGGGTGTTGGGGACGCAGCCCCGCTGCCGCTCCTATTTCAACAGCTAAGAGGTCCTGTGAGAGCAGGAAGCTCCTCGCCTTAGGGGCTGAAGACGGAGGCACAGTTCTAACAATGTGGTGAGATGCCCAGGGAATCTGCACATGGAACAGGCCAAACCTACTTCTCAGCTGGAAAACTGTCCTTTACAGCTGCCTAGAAACAATGCTTTGGGGGCATCAGGGTGGCTCCCTGGTAAGACAGTACTTGCTATGCACGCCTAACTACTTGAGTTCACTACCAGACTCCAGAGTGGAAGGGGAAAACGAGCTGTGCAAAGTCCTCTGCGTCCCACACATGTACCCACATTCACACAGAGCTCACACACATCCACCCACACAACAGAAAAGTTTAAAAGCAGTGCTTTCCAGAACAATCTGTCGATAGCTGTGGAACTCACCTGCATGTAGAAAGAGGTGCGAACTGAACACCCTTTTCTTTGCATTCCCTTCTTATCCTCTCTTTGACATTTCTACACAGATCTATAACCCTAGAAAAGACAATTGAATGTACCAATAGGTATTTTTTCTTTTTTTAATTTTAGTTTTTTAATTTCATTTTACATTCCATCCATAGTTCTCCCCCTCACCTCTCCTCCCATGCTCCCCCCCCCCCCAACCCTCCCAACAGGCAAGGGCTCCCATGGAAAGTCAACACAATCTGGCACATTAAGTTGAGGCAGGACCAAACCCCTTCCCCCTTTCCACCACAGGGAATGGGCTCCAATAAGCCAGCTCATGCACCAGGGACAGATCCTGCTCCTTCTGTCAGGTGCTCATACATATTCTGAACTTCACCATTCTCCCACACATAAAGGCTTAGTTCTTATATTATTTTTTATCAGTTCATGTATTTATATATTTATTTAACTGGTTGGCCTCCACAGTTATAAGATTAAAAGGTAAGAGAACATTGGCAGGTAACAAGGAAGTTAGTGACAAAAAAGTGCTAACACTATCCTAATCCATCTTCCCCGTGACAAAGGACTGGAGGTCTGAGTCTCCTCAGATTGCGCAGACTAGAATCTTCCCTTTCACACCACGTGATGTCAGGAGTCAGGGTTTTGACCTCTGGCAGGTCGTTAGGTCATGAGGGCAAAGTCCTAATGGATGGAATTGTTGTTATGTCGGAGAGACGAGAAGGACCGCTTTCAGTCACATGAGGACGAACGAGAAGGTGGCTTTTCATAAACCAAGAGGGCCTTCAGCAGCAAACCCAGATGCCCAAAGGCCCTTGATACCACATTTCAAGGGGAGAGGAAAAATATCTGTTTAAACCATGGAAGCCAGCCAGGCCATGGCAGTTTATGTAGCAATCCATACTGAGACGTCAGTCAGCAGTGGTATGGTAGGACTGAAGTCACCACTGGTAACCTGACATGAGCTGCCTGCCTGCCTGCCTGCTCCAAAGAGATCAACGGTAATCAGGTAGCAATTCTTATTTTTAAGATTCAGTGCCCTTGTTAAAATGTACTTTAAAAAACTGTAAATAAGGAGGGGTGTGATGGAACGTGAATGTAATCCAAACAGCAGAGACTGAGGCAGAAAGATCACAGCTCTCTGGGCTACACAGCAGTTTCAAGGACAATCAGAATCATACAGATCATCTAGAGAAAAAAATTCTCCACTTTTTGGAGAGAGAATAACTGAGTGATCCTATAGAATAGGTTTATTTCAAATAATTCTTGGAATTTGACTACCAGTACACCAAAAGTCAAAATCCACAGCAGATTAAGATAATGTGGAAAAGTGGTTTCTAGAGGAAAAAATCAGGTATGAGGAAAACAAGAGGGTAAATATTTAATGCTTACATAGCGGGTTCAGAAACCCACATAATGCATTTTCTATCATGTGTTTTAGTGCCAAATTTTGCTTAAACTTAAAAATAAAAATTATGATTAACATCTTAAACTGTATTTCTTTCAGAAATTATTTAAATGCAGGTAAAGATCTAGTTAAATCTACAGAGAGAGAGAGAGAGATCAAAGCTAAATGAGACATTCATTACAAAAGAAGTCAAAGAGATTTAATAATTTGGGGTGGGGAAGATAGATTTAAAAAGAACATTTAAGCATAATAAAATCACCTAAGCTAAGTCAAACTACGCCGCAGTGTTTTGTGTTTGTTCAGTAAGTCTTCAAAATATTGACTTTAATACACTTGTTTGTAGAATTCCAAACAAACCGACCTTAATCCAAAAAAAAGCGGGTAAAGGTTGAAAACAATGGTATTCAGATCATGATACTAATTTAAATAAGAGTACCTTCCTTATTTCAATGTTTCTTATAAAAATTTTAAACTTTCCATATTCACACACAGACAAATTACATATCCGCATACATGTATCAATTATAAAGTATATCAGGGTAAGTCTTTTTTAGGTTTTACCTGTCCCAAGGAGCAGAAGTCTCAAAAGATTCTCCTACTACATAGTATTCCAAACCCAAATCCTGTAAAGACACAAAAATCATGAAATTACAACCAGTGCACCAATTGATAAACCACTAGAATTTCTGGAAGTTGTTAATAGTGCACCTCTGATCTAGCCTAACCTACTGTCTGTCTCCTAAGGACACTGGAAAGTTTCCAAGTGTGGCATGACCTCTCTGAGTGTGGAGCCTTGTGTGTGCTGCTCTCCACAGCCTCAGCAGCAGTGAAAGCATCTGTCACAGAAAAGGAACCCTAGTCCTTCCCTAGTGGATGGAGTCTCTCTCCAGGAACAGTTTCTGCATGTGTGGAAGAGATTAGAGAACAGATGTTTAGTGGACAGAACAGTAAAACAGCCAATATTAAAATTGAGCGGCAAGGTGAAAGGAACAAGAGGTAAGACAGTGTGTGGTGGTGCTGCTGCTGCTGGTGATGAGGGCGGTGCTGCTGGTGGTGCTGGTGCTGCTGCTACTGCACTTTTTTCACATCAACTTTTATTTAGAAGCAAATTTAGAAAATACAGCTAGGTATGGTGGTTCACAACTTTAATCCCAGCACTTGAGTTGCAGAGGCAGGCAGATCTGAATTCAAAGCCAGCTCAGTCTACAGACAGAGCTCCCAAACAGCCAGGACTACACAGAAAAACTGTCTCAAAAAAATCAAACCAATCAAACACAATAAATAAACAAACAAATAAATAAATATAGTAAGAACAATCACTTCAATTCCACTAAGTGCTAAGAGGACACACCTCCATATCTAACTGATCTAAAGTGTGTGTTCAGTGGTTCAGTCCGTGTGTCTAGGACTCATTCCTGTGACAGTGGGGGTATGCACTAGAGAAAGGTTTTAAAGAACAAAGCAAACAGGACTGGCAAGGCAGCTCAGTGAAAGGCAGTTGTCGCCAAGCCTGAGGACCTGAGTTTGAAGACCCACAGGGTAGAAGACAGAGCTGCATCCGGCAGACTGTCGTTCAGACATGCTGTGATCTATGCATCGTCACATGTACATATTCAAACACAAAACAAATCAATGTAAGGGGAAATGTAAAGATAAAGCAAATAAATTTATGGGAAAAGATCCCTAAACTTGTTTTTGTATTGGCCTCAAAATTAACTGGAAACTTACAAACAGTCTATTCCCACAAGGACCTCATGCTGTACTTATTACAGCTACATTAATTTTCTACAATTCTGAACTCAGCGTTGTGGGAAATACACCTATCAATATATATCTCTCAATGTACCCAGAGAAAATATCTGATTTGATAAACATCTCCTCTAGGAAGATCCTGGGTAGTGACAGTCTACACAGATGGCCCCGGCATCCACTTCCTTGCATGTTCTGTGTATCTCCTGGTCAGGGTTCCTAACAGAGGGAGCAGGCAGTCAGTCTGCTTTCCCAGTAAGAATTCCCCCGGGGTAGGGTAAATGACTCTTCACTACACTATGAAAACAGACCTTGAATGAAAATTGAAATTTATGCCCTGGCAATGCTGAAGCATGCATGGGTAGCCTGAATATGGTGGTCCTGTTGAACTTGTCATATTAAGTTGATGAGGGTGGCACATGCCTGTAAGAAAACAGATCTTAACTAGGAGTAAATTATCCTGAAATGAGAAGATTTCATGCCTTTTGAGAACAATAAAAAAAAATGTATCTTTTTATAAATGTTTCCCTCAAAACAATTTCCAACTGGAAAATTAGAAAATCTGTAACTTGGGAAAGTCAAACTTTCAGTAAGGCAGCCAATGGATCTTTTTAGACAAGATCATTAAAATCACTAACAGTTAAACTTTAAAATACATTAAGTAAAAGTAACTTCAGCCAGAAAACAGTGTCTATAAAAGCCAAAGTAGAACAAATGAAAAACTACAAACTCAAAAGGCTGGTTTATAGTGGCAACGGCAACAGACTGGAAGTCAATATGAGCAATGGCATCTCTCATAGGCAGAGTCCATACTAAGAAAGTCTGCAGTGTTCACACAGTTTCTGACTTCTGAACCAGTGGCTACCTGGAGTTATGTATCAATTTTTAAAGAAAGGGTAAAGATTTATAATTCCTTACGATGGATCAAAAGTCAACTAAAGACCATTGCTACACAGAACAGCTTAACTCCAACCCAAGTAATGTTAAGAAAGGCAAACTGGCCTTCAGAGGTGGAAAGACATTAAATCCCCTGTAAGTTCCTCAAAAGCACATACCAAAGTTTTAAAGGGGCTTCTAAAAAGTAAATTTAAAGCAAAATAAAGTAAAAAAAAAAAAAAAGTAAAAGTAATGGGGCAACTAAAAGTAAATCCAGGCTTTTCCAATAAAATGGTGCTCTAAATTACAGTAGCCAAATACTTACGAAGATAAGCAAGGAAGACTACTTTCTGTACCCTAAGTCAGTGTGGTGATCTGAAGGAGAACGGCACCACAGGGTCATACATTTGAATGCTTGGTCCCCAGTACACAGCACTATTTGGGAAGGATCAGGTGAGGCCTTGTGGGAAGGGTGGGGGAGGAGGCTGTGGGTCTCAAAGGTCTATGGTTTTCCCAGGTAGCTCTCTCTACCTCCTCCTTGTGGACAGAGGTGAGCTCTCAGCTACTGCTCTGGTGTCATGCCTGCGGGCCTGCTGCCATGACAGTCATGGACTCCTCTGCAGCTATGAGTCCCAAATTAGATGTTTTCTTTTATAAGATGCCTTCCTTGATCATGGTGTTTTACCATGGCAACAGGAAAGTAATTAATGTCAGAAATACAACTTACACGCATATATGCAATGACGTAAGTCAGCAAATAACCCCTCTGTCCATTATCTTCTCCAGCCGCCAGACCACTGCAGATGAAGAACAAACGATCAATATATTTTAACTGAAGAAATAAAAAGCTAAACTAACAACATCTCAAAATAACTGCTCAACAGATTAACATGGTATATCACTTTTATCTTAATTTCACAAGTCATTAATATGCCAGTTAACAAGAGAACGTGCTTGAATAACAAAGCTGAAAACACTTTCTTGTTTCTCTTGGTCTTTTTGAGACCGGGTTCCTCTGTGTAACAGAGCCCTAGCAGTATCGGGATTCACTGAAGAGTGAGCAAAACAAAGGATATCATTTTATAAACACAATGTTAGAGAACGAGCAAGACACAGCTCAGGTCAAATCACTCAAAGTCAAATGTTAGTTCTGGTTTGGATGTGAGGCTGAGGCAGAGAATAAAGTTCTATAATTTCTAAAGTGTTGGGGCGAGGACTTAAGGGGGATCCAGTCGGGCTCCGGGCTTAAGCAGACACAAAACAAAGTCAGGCTCTGCAACTAAAGAAGCAGCAGTTCAGGGCTAGCAGTAAAGAGTTCTCACGGGAGCTGGTAGAGAAAGGAAAGCACAGGAAGCTGGGGGACACCTGAGCTAGGAACCACTGAGACAGAGTGCCAAAGTATATGGTGGGAACAGGTCTAGCTGCTGTGCTGGGTGAGACCAAGCCTACTTTTCCTTCCCAAAGCAAGCCACTTTCCTTTCAGTTCTTTGCTACTATCTGGTGGTAAGGGATCCATTCTACACTGAGATGCAGTGTACAAACCCCATAGAAACATGCTTTTTGAAAAAATCTGGAGGAGCTACAGAAATGGCTCAGCAGGAAAGAGAGCCTGCTGCCCTTGGAGAGGACCAAGTGTGACTGCTGGCACCTACACTGGATGGCTAATAACCACCTGTAACTCTAGCTCCAGAGAAACTGTCACAAGTGCACATACACACTAGACGGACACACACACACAGACACAGACACTCAAATAAAATTTAAAAATTAAAATAAAGAATCTGAAGCAAAAAACAACAATAAAAAAACCCTGTAACTGGACATTCATCCTATATTCATAAGTCCTGAAAGAAAATAACGGGCAATTTGGGTTTACTTTTCATAATCACGTTTTCTTGCAAATTTAGCTTTTAAAACCACTTTTATTTTTGTTTCAGAACTGTCAATTTAGTCAAAATCAAATTAAGATGCAATATGTAAGCAATCACAAAACTCAGAAACGAAATATTTCTAAAACTGACAATTTTGCAGCTACTCCAAATATACATGTGTGTGTGTGTATTATATAGTTAGACTTAAACTGCTTTATTTCTAAGTAGAACATCAATCGTCTACTTCTTGTTATTCTCACAAATTTCAAACACCAATCCACAAGGTTCTTAACATATTTAAAGGAGTAGGCAGCTTAATGAAGAGGAAAACCAGACTCTCATTTTACGTAAAAAAAAAAAATCTGGCCAAAGTAATTACTCTCATGCTGAATTACATCAAACAACTTAAGAACATGTAAAAATAATGATGAGTTATTGCCTTAAGTTCTATGGAAGATGCCAAAGCATCGCTCATGACTACTGACAGGTGATGTTTATTCAGCTCTTGAAGGAGTAAAGGTATTAGTAATTAGGAAGAATAGAATGGGGGTGGGAGGATTCCTACTGAGTGTCATTAACTCATTAAACAAGTTTTTAATCACACAGGGAGTATGTCCTAAGAAACAAAGTAACACCTAAGGAGAGACAGGCTAAGTGTGAAGCAGAAAGCACGGTCATTTGTGGTCACTAACCTCCTGCACGAACAGCAGGAGTGTGGCACAGTCCTAGCTACCATCACCTTCCAGCCTGCTCCAAACTGCAATGGAAGCCCTATCTCCACAGAGCCGTGTGGGTGTGCAGTGGGGCAATGGTCTTGTACCCTGTAAAGGTTTGTCAGTTGCACTGGTTTAATGCTGATTGGCCGGTAGCCAGGCAGGAAGTACAGGTAGGAAGTATAGGCAGGGCAATCAAAACAGGAGAATTCTGGGAAGAAGAAAGGCTCAGTCTGCAGTCCTGACCCAGACACACTGATAAAGGTACCAAGCCACATGGCTAACACAGACAAGAATTATGGGCCACTTTAAGATGTAAGAAACAGTTAATAAGAAGCCTGAGCTAATAGGCCAACCAATTTATAATTAGTGTAGGCCTCTGTGTGTTTATTTGGGACTGAATGGCTGTGGAATTGGGCAGGACAGAAACCTCTGTCAACAGGGGCGCATGCACTGGGGGATTGGAGAAGAGGCAGAACTATGCAGAATTTAACACATATCTAGCAACTCAAATATTTCATTTTCATCTAATACTTCTGAAATTTTAGAAATCCCAATTAAATATTTAAATTCATAAGGATCATTTCTCAGTTTTTGTGTTAAGTAAGATCAAGTGAAATATGTAAATAAAGAATTTTTAAATATTTAGTTTCTAGTATTTCAAGCTAGAGCAGATACAGAAAAAATTAACTTAAATCTCCTTTCTGACGAATATGCTTCAGTAGTTAAAAACAAAACAAAACATGGAAAATAAAAGAATGAACTTCATCTTCTATTAAGGAAATTAAAACTCTGCTTGTAATTTCAGAATAGATCAAAAATAAAAGAGGGACTTATTTTCAAACACAGTATCAGAATAAAGTAGACTGAATCTAAAATGAGACCGTTTTTCCTCTAAGAAGACAGTATTTACTAATACTAATACTAATTTACTAATACCAACCCTGGAAATAAAGAGCTAAGTAGCACAGCACAAGGTGGGGCACTGCAAAGCACTTATCTCCAACGTAAGTGAGTTTCATAAGACAGAAAGAAAGGAGGGTAGATAAATGTTTGCAGAGCTCAGGACAAGCTTAACACTGGAAATCCCTGGACAGATGGGAAAGACTGCTGGCTTCGGCACCTGAGAAGGGAGGCGGAACACAGCCCTGACTAACGGCTTACCCACTGGAGCTCTCCCCATCAGTCTTCTCATCCGTCAGGAGACAGAAACCACCCCACCATTATTCAGTTGGTTATATGGGAAGTGTCTTCTGTTTCTTTATACCCACATAAAACAGTAAGTGACAGGGGGTGGAGTATAGATAATTTATCAAATATCACAGACTAAACATAATTTCCTTTTTAAAACACATTAGTAATATGTTTTATACATGAACTAATAACAAGACAATTGTTTCATTCCTACACAACAAATAACACAACACAAAGTTATCATTCAAGCAAAAATCTAGGAAAAGCAAAATATTTAACATCATATAACATATACACACATTATGTATGTGTAAAATTAGGTCAAAGCAACAGATTACTCTTTCTACAAATTTTTGGGATAAAACTATTTTAAGCTTACTTTCATAAATCACAATGAATTTAATACAGCCTGCTGACACATACAGTCTGTACGAAGCCAGCACAACTTCAGCATACTTCCTCTTTGCTATAAACTCAAAGCCATACCCAAATTTTGCAGCAATGTCATATACTTGTTTTTCATGTTGAAGAACCTTCTCACGGTCCCCCTCGAACAGTAATGTGGCTACGCTTAGTTGATTTGGATCAAATCCTTTAAACTACAAAATATAAAATAAAGTTGTATTATTACAGAGGCCTTAGCTTATAAAACAGTAAAGTGAAATACATTTTGCTCTTTTTCTTCTAACATGACCTCAGGTACAGCAGCCTGTTAAGCAGTGAGCTTTGAGGCTTTCCCTGTCAATTAACAGGTGAGTGCTTGCCTGACCAACGCTGCTGCAGAAGTCCACCTCACAGGTGAGTGCTTGCCTGACCTGCACAAGGTCCTGGGCTTGAGGCCCAGCACGTTAAGACAAAACGTAAGTACAAATACACTGCATTTCAGAGTACTGTGGTATTATAATCACTTCTGATACAGTAACTCAACAGGTAACCTGCCAGAATTTTAACTGTAATTACAGAAACAAATACAAATTACAGAACCAAAGAGCAAAGCATATGGGTGGAGCTAACATCTCTACAAACCAACCGCGACAATTACATAATAGTAACAAGAAGATCTTGTGCATGCAAAGAACTAAGACTAATTTTAAAAGGAAATATATCAATTCACTAGGGGAAAAAAGTAACACAGATGGTCCTGAATGCATAAATTATTTCGAATTTACCAATACTTGTACAAATTAATATGCTAGACTACCAATTTTAATAAAAAAAACTGTACATTTGAAAAGGACAAGTCTCTAAAATTTTTCTAGAATAATGAACATGTAATAGTGGCAACAAAGAAAATTCTAAATAATAAGAGGTAAAACTAGATTATATTTTTTTAATTTTTCAAAAACAAAACAGAAACTATTACAAAGAATGAGCAGTATCTATTCTCGGGTAGTACAGTACATAGCAAGGGGCCTTCGGCTCAATGTAAAAAGAAGCAGGCACTAGTCCCAGTCACTAGTACTGACACAAGGGTCAGCACAGGAAAGGAGGAGGAGGAGGTGGAGAGCAATCTAGATCTTCATCTAACAGCAAAAGAGCTAAATAAAGCAACAAAAACCACAAAACCTTTCACTGTCAATTAAAACAGGTAAAGGATATGCTATAGCTTAATGTCCGACCACTTGCTTAGTGTGTGAGACCCTGAGTTTTATTCTCAACACTATAAAAACAAACAAACAAAAAACTGGACAACACAAGAAAATAATGGGGGTTGGGGAGTAAAAGGTCTCTAAATATACCAGAAGAGAAAGGGCTTTCTTAGCTTAGAAGTGATAAAATAGTCCTAAGAACAGACATAAATTTAAGTTCACATAGCACCAGAATGAAAAACCCTATTAAAAAGGGAGGTGTTTGGTTGGAAAATGTTATTTACAGAATCCATGCCAAAGGGTACTTCCTATTCCATTACTCAAAAAGGGTGTGTGTCAAAGTGCAGTAGACAAACAACACATTTTGTCCCTAGCACAACAACCACATTTAAATAGTTCACACAAAATTACACCCAGAAAAAACAGAGACAGTTCAAGCTCTCTGGCATTTCAAGAAACATTACCTAATTAAGCAAAATAATGAAAAAATCCTCCAACTACAACAATAAAATGATACATTGTGGGGCTGGAGAGATGGCTCAGTGGGTAAGAGCACTGTCTGCTCTTCCAGAGGTCCTGAGTTCAATTCCCAGCAACCACATGGTGGCTCCAAGCCATCTGTAAAGAGATCTGGCGCCCTCCTCTGGCAGGCAGAAAGTTGTATACATAATAAATAAATATATGTCACTTTCTTTAAAAAAAAAATGATACATTGTTGCCACTCTGACACACACTGTTGCCACAGTGGTACACACTCTGACACACACTGTTGCCACAGTGATACACACTAGTACAACCTTTCAAAGTTCTCAGGAATAAAACATTAAATAAATAAATGAACCTAATCTCATTTCACTCCTGAGTACAACTATAAAAAAAATTTCAACTATAGGGAATGTCGCCAGCTTGAGACTGCTCAATGCAGCTGTTTTAAGACTTTAGAACCAGATACAAACTGACCTGACTACACAGTTCAGTTGCTAACATACCTTTTCCCACATCAGAACACAACACCCCACGGAAAAACATCCTTATGGGAGGTGTGTATAGGGAGAAGGCAAGAAGAAAAACTTACATCCTGTACAAGTACAATTTTAGATTTTTTTTTAGTCTTACCTTTGTAATATAAAACTTTTTTAATCCATCTAAAAATGATGTAAAAATAGAGGAGACCTGAGGTTTAAGAGCATGACCTAGGAAGAGAAAAAAAGTTTACAGTTTAAATTAATAACAAATTAGGTGTTTTTGAGATCAAAAAATGGCTTTAATTTAGTATTCTAAGAGAAGCAAGTCTTTACAGCTGTAATTTATATGGATGCTTTTATTAAGATCTTTTACCTCTACATTCTTTCAAGTGTGACAGTGTTTTACTTATAAAAGTCACTGTTTTTTAAAAAAAATTACTACATGTAATTAATACTATACATACTTTCAGTTATCTTTCAATGGTACAATTTACACACAGTAAAACCACCTCATTAATTTTTATTTTATTAAGAATATTCAGTGGTGGCTGGTTTTACTATCATTTTTTTAATTATACAGAAACTACACAGAACCATAACCAAATATGGAGTCCATGTGAAGTTTAAGGTTGTTTCTTAATTCTTAACTCATCCAGAATTCTTAGCATAAAACTAACAATTGCTTCCTTAATCACACTCAGGGAGTTAAAATTGCCAAAATAAAACAAACAGCATTTCAGAGTCTGTTAAATTAACATCACCGCCTGCAGATTACACTTAATTGGGTAGGAACCTTCTACTGCTTTCTCAGTTTTCAAAGAAGAGCAACTTCTCAGCACTGGGATGGTTCCAGTTAAGTTCCACATCTGGCCTTAGTGCTGAGCACAATTAAAAAAAAATTCTATCCTGTTTATGCAGTTTTCAAAAAAGATCCTCAAGTATTTAGCAAAACCTAAAACTGTCTTCAAAGAAAGGTTTTTTTTTTCCTAGTCTTCTAGGGTTGAGGATTCTGAAGTATAAGATCTTCCTTTAAAAGAAATGCAAAGGACAATCTAGTTGCTCCTAAAACAATCATCACCAGCCTTTTATTCCAATTCATTTATAAGTAAGAATTCAATATATAATACTTACTCACCACATTGTTTTTCCTGATTGTAACGACAAAACTAGGTTACATGAAAGACTAAGTAAAATAGGTCATACATAGAGACTAAGAGATACCCATGCTATGGCTGCAACAGGGAAAAACTGAGAGACACGCAAGGTAGCAAACAAACAAACAAACAAACAAAAAACGAACTGTGGGGTAGATAGAAACCATCTTAGTGGTGTTTATGAGTCCCGGAATCAAAATCTGATTTGTCTAGAAACTTTTTTCTTTCCTATAAAAGATGTTTCTCCAACATAACTATGTTTTAAAGATAATTTAAGCATCTATAAACTTAGAAATAGCACATCATCAGGATGCTCACTTCTTTTCACCAAACAGGACTCACCCTACATTAATAACTGAAATTAAACACAGAACGTGCTGCGCTATGCCTCGGGGCTCAGGACTGCAATCTCAGATATACAAGGGGATGAGGCAGGAGAACTCAAAGTTTAAGGTCCATCTGGACTAAGACAGAGTTCAAGGCCAGGCTAGTGGGCATCTTATTGAGTCCCTGCTCAAGCTAATGGCTGTCCTGAAAACCTGCCCCTCTTCTCCACCGTTGCCACAGGTGCTCCAGATCTGCCCCTGCACTGTTCACCCCACAGCTTCATCTCCAGTCCATTCCCTCCTCACTCACTGTAGTGGCATTTCATTTGTATTTTAGTAAATAAAGCTTGCCTGAAGACCACAGCGTAAAACAGCCCCACTGGTCAGCCTTACAGCCAGGCAGTGGTGACACACACCTTTAATACCAGCAGCCACACTAGTTTGCCACAGGAACCAGATGGTGCATGCCTTTAATCCCAGTGGTGCACTCCTTTAATCCCAGTAGAGAGAGTTATAAAACAGAGGAGACAGCTCTCAGTCTCATTCTGAGATTCCTGGAGGCAGGAAGGCTATTCTGGACTGAGGTCAAGGTAAGAGCCAGTGGCTGGCTACTTTGCTTTTTGGACCTTCAGGTTGAACCCCAATTTCTCTGAGTTTTTATTAATCGTGCTTTAACTCACCCTGAACAACACTGCCAGAAAGGGCTTTCTAAGGCCAAAATGACTGATGCCCCCTCCGCAAAGAAAGACCACTGCAGACAGGATAATAGTCACTAAAATATTTGGAGACTCTAAAACATGCTATTGTGCTTTCACAAGTTCAGCTTTGCCCATAAGGGAACAAACTTGGTCAGGTAGAAGACTCAAGCAAACCTCCGTTTCCCCTTGAAGATTCAGAACGAGTGCCACCTCCAACAGAAGCCTTTCCAAGCTTTCCTCCATGAATGAGGCGCAGCTTCCGCAGCAACCCAGGCACCTGTGCTCCCCACAGCCCTCCACCACGGCACTCTCTCAAAGACTGAGTACTCATCAGAGCTCCACGAGGGACAGCACGGTGACAATCATCGTTCTCTGAAAGTTCTGGAGGTTAACTGAGCACAGTTACTCACCAAACTGAAACTGCTGGTTGTCCATGAGGCGGATCGATGCAGGAGCACACCTCTGTTTTAAAAGAAGTGGGAATCAGTTCAACAGGCAAGAGTCACACAGCAGGACCTGACTGTTACTTTAAAAGGCTTCAACGACTTAGTGCCTAAAGATATATGGAAAAACTTCATGAAGACAAAACATCAGTGGTTTATAAAAATATTTGGAGAAATCTATGTGTAAAAGCAATTCACAGATACTCAAACCTTTAAACTTAGCAATAAAATATACTTGCTGCCTGGCAGTAACCTGGAAGAATAACTTAAAAGAAATTCCACTCCTCAAAATAGACTATTTTACAACAAAGTAGAACTTTTTAAGACTAAATATGTGTTTTAAGAATTGCATATTTTATAATATTTTACTAGGTTTTTGCACAGTATTTTTCTCCCTCTCCCCACCCCACCCTCTTCCTTTCACAGTGTTGAGAATCAAGGCTGTGGCCATGCACCTGCTAGCAAATGCTCTACCACTCAGACCATCACTAACCTCTTTCATACTTTTAGAAACCAGGAAGCACTGGTGGAAATTTTTATATGCCAAAAAACTTCTAAAACATTTGCAGTATCTTCAAAGACAATCTTAGGAACCATTCCTTCTTTTGAATCCTTCCTCAGAATTATTTTACATAGAAGAACACATGTGACAGAGTCACAGTTTTAGTTCTTTTAGGGTTACATATAATGCAAACAGCAATGAAACTTTGATGGTTAAGAATGTATATCTAGGGGGCTGGAAAGGTGGCTCAGAGATTAAGAGCACTGATTACTCTTTCTGAGAACCCCAGGTTCAACTCCCAGCACCTACATGGCCACTCACAACTGTCTATAATTCCAGTTCTAGGGGATCTGACACCTTCACACAGACATACAGGCAAAACCCTGATGCACATAAAAATAAAAAATAAAAAAGGTGTTAAAAAATATTTATCTAAAGAATAAGTCTGCCCCAGCGGAGTGTGTGTGTGTGTTTGTGTGTGCGCGCATGTGTGTGTGCGTCCATGTTTACAAACTAAGAGTTGCAAGGAAGAAGGGGAAAACAAGATAAAACAAAGTTTAGACAGCAGGTACTGGTTGAGCAACCTTCACCTGTAAATCTGAAACCTGTAATGCTCTGGAATTCAATTTTTTTGAGCAACAACTTACCAACACCAAATTTCAGATCTAGGAGCATTTGATTTCAGACTGTAGATGTCCAACTGAGAAAGCATATGAAACATGCAAGAGCTGAGTAGCCACGCCAATCCAAGACATTCAGCCTGCCCTTTTATTAACTTCATGATGATAAAAACTGTAAAAGGGTCTGAAACCCAAGCAGGGTTATTGCTTCCTACACAAGATTCTAGGGCAGCTGAAGCTCTACCAAGGGCTGTTTTTGGAGCAGATATTTTAAAAATGCTGTAAACATTTTTTTTAAAGCAGAATATTGCTCTGCAGCCCAGACTGCATACAAACTCACAGCACTCCCTACTGTCTCAGCCTACAAAAAAGTCATAAACTTTTAAAATATGTCTTCATAGTATCATTTATCAATAAATATATAAAGTTCCGTAACTCCTTAAAAACTTAAAATATGCATTAAGACATTTTTGCTATTACTTGCTTTTAGTTAAACAAGTATTTAATTCTTATAAAAGCATAAAACAGAATTCTATCCAATATAAGGATAGACAAGATTCTTATTTTAAAGCCTAAGCAATTTATTTATTCATCTAAATACTAACAGGTCTGAAGAGACAGTGGCAGGTAATCGTATACACATGGTGACAAGAGCCCATCACTCCCACGGTACAGGACACCGTGGTTTCCAACTGTGCCCTGGTTTATTCCACACAATCAACAGAACTGTCACAGAAGCAGAACTAACTGCCTTTCAGACAGACACAGAATGGATAAGGTCAGATGGCTATGAAATAGCAAAGAAGAGATCAAGATGTCCTGACTACTGATGAGCAGTTTCAAGTTGATCATATAGCCTTGCTCATGCACACACACACAAAATCAACACAGACACACACACACACACTTAGTGCTTAGCTTCATATTCAAATCAAAGATTAGATCAAAACTACTATGTCTGTCATTTTGTACTCCTACTAAAAGTGTAACAGTCCAAAATATTACAAAAGAATAATTTCAAATTGATATAAAGGTATTAGAGTTTGGTCAGTAAATCCTAAAAGCACTGCTAGTTTCCCATATACTAAAGAAAGATCAATTTTCTTCACATTTATAAATCCAGATGCCTTTAATAAAATGAGTGTGGTGACTTCTAATAACATATGAAACTTATTCAGGCAAATTTCCTTTCTTCATAAAGAAAGTAGACTATCTCTAGGCAAACACTAGGTAACATCTATAGCACACATGTTTGCATGTGTTGGCATTAGCACATCAGAAAGTATTAAAGAATTCAGAGCTCTTTATCAGTGGGTGTTAAATTCCTGGTGAGAAGTGTGAATTCTACCTGCCGCCACCAGCCAGATCCCACTTCGCCTGCTTCAAGAGCAGGTGCTATCAGCAAAATAACCAGTGCATGTGCTGAGGAAATGGGAGGCGAAGCCTCCACTCTCAGTGCAGGCCTACCAGGTATCTTCTGGGGTGGAAGCGGTACAGCAACTGCAGATCAATTTCGGCCAAAAAGTTTTAGAGTATTTGCTAAATCATGCAGCTACCAATATTCACCTCAACTGAATGTGATTTTAACTTGGCGCTGAGTTAAATGAATAAATACTACCCGAAAACACGCAGTTTTTAAACACTGAATTTTACAAAGAAATTATCAAATTCAAGTCAACAGATTTAAAGTTTCATATTTTTTTTCAAAGTTAGTAAATAGTTCTTTAGTTGTTGTCTTAAGTAAATTCACAGAAGCTAAGAATTCAAATAAAAATAGTATCTAGGTTAGTATGTTGGCCTTTAGCAACCAATAATTTGAAAAGTATTACAGATAATCCTAAATATATAAAAAATACTTAAAATATGAAAAAATTAAAAGTTAGCAAAGCAACTGACCAGAGAGAAGGTCATATAATCAAAACATCAAAATCATGTCCCTGGCCTATGGTGTGTATAAGCTCAGATCAGGTTGTCTCCATTGCTTTCAAAACTAAATGGGGAGGTCAAGCTAAAAAATAAACTCAGTCCTCTTTAAAGGACAGAGAGTATAAACTCTAAGAACTGGAGTTCAAGTTCACACCATACTATCCCAGTAAGCAACACTGAGCCCACTATAGTGGATAAGGAGGTGAGGAGCCCTAGCTATAGTGACCCCTGCTGGTAGTTGTCAGAAATAACCTAGGAGGGGTATTTCAACAAAGTTATAGTGGGTTTACTGAGAAATCTAAGGTATTTTATTCCTAATAAAAATTGCATGTTGTCGTGCAGTGATGGCCCACGCCTTTAATCTCAGTACTAGGGAGGCAGAAGCAGGCAGAAGAGGCCAGCATAGTCTACAGGAGCTAGTTCCAGGACAGGCACCAAAGTTACACAGAGAAACCCTGTCTCAAAAAACAAAAACGAAATAAAAAATAAAATTGCATGTTATGGTTTTCTCTCTGGCAATAGCCATGGTTTAGTTTAAGGAAAACATGTTTCAGAAATATTTTTAAGGTGTTCCCTTAGGAGAGACTACCTTTTTTTTTAATTTATTAAAAAGTTGGATTGAGATATCTGTTACTTTTTAAGTTAGCACAGAGAATCTAGTCAGTTTTTCTCTAATGGAAAGAAATGCCCCTCTTTCAACATAAAGGACAGAATCTTAAATTCTTATTGAAAACAACCAAAAACAAGCAGAGTCTGCGCTATTAAGCTTGTTCCGGAAAGCCATCAGAGTGGTTTCTGGACTAACAAGAATAGTTAAGATGCTGTATCTGACATGTAGTACATCCTCAACTTTAACTCTTGTGGGAACTTATTTTCTAGGAAAGTCTTAAAGAATCACCCTAGATCTACTGAGCAAATGTGGAGACTGCATTGACACACTTAGGGATCACCCACAAACCCTTCCTTCCTAGCCCCTCAGAGGGCAGGCAAAGAGGACAATTTCTCACCTAGACAAGATCCCATGAAAGCTGAGGGGAGCATCCCACTGCGAGCTGAGGTTGCCTAGAGTTCTCCCCCTCAGTCACAGCAGTAAGAAGCCTCCATGTAGCGCCAGCTTTGCTACTGTGAACAGCACACCTTCCTTTCCCAAAGACGCTCGCCCACCTTACAGCCTGCACGTGTGAAATGGCAGCACAGAATCACGAGCATCTAGACCCTGACCAATCATGGTTCATGCACTGTTTTAGTCTACTAGCCCCTGCTAGCAACTGAAATTCCGAATCCCAATCTGAGCAAACGTGATGTTCTGAGCTTTTTTCTGTCTGCAAACACTATTACAAAAGGAGAACAAGATACAGTACCTACTGTTGGCATGACCTACTGTTTACCTACTCAGTAAACTGATAAGGTCAATGATTCTTAAGCATTAAAAAACTATTAGCCTATGCATGTGCATTGTAAGGCATGAAATCGTGGGTCTCCAAATAATGTGATACTACAAACTGCATTCTGAGCTGTGCTTCACACTGAGGAGCAATGCTAGATTTTTAAGTCAGATTCAAAGTAGGCAAGTTTTCTATTCTAGTCTACAGGACTTGTCTGTAAAGCTGATTATTACTAAATACGCAGACAGTCTAAAACGGCACTTTCTCGCTGACCTGCTCTATAGCCACACGGTGGCACTATCCGTCATTCGTATCTCTATTCCAAATGTATACTCACTCAGTACAGTGAATTGCACTAGTCATCAGCTGGGTATCTAAGATTCTTAAAACCGTTTACTCAAAGACAAGTTTTGCTGCTTTATGCAAGGAAGGAAAGGAGTCTACCCTGCTCTCCAAAAACACAAGTAGATCTTCTGTTTCAGTTTCCAAAAGGAATACATTCAACTATAAAAAACTGCACCAGACTGCATCAGTTACTCATATTCAAACTGAATGGCTCCACTATGATAACACTATAAACAGGATTTTTGTAGATTTACACATCAGTTCTCAATGATGACACCAAAGGCATTGTCAATTGAGTATGCAGTGTGGGAAAATGGAAAGCATAAAAGACCTGAGTAATATTATAATACTTGCTGATGAGTCCACTGCCCTGGAGAATCTAGGAAGTGTGGCATTAGCCAACACAGGGGAACGTGACCCTTCTGAGAGCTTTTGTCAAGGAAATATACAAGCCCAAAATCCTTTTTCAACTTTTATGATTATTATTTTTTTAATCTGATTTGAGCTGACAGAAGATGCAATGAGAAAGCACAGCCAATCCTGAGCTGCTCAATCTTTCGAGAGGGAAGCAAGCATGCCCAGAGACACTCTCGCCTGCCGTCTTTATGGCACAAGCTGAACATGTCCAAGTGTTTCCATCCACCACTTTCCCTTCGCACCGAGTGCCTTATCACTAAGCTGAGCATGTCCTACACCTACCCATCTTCCTGCCTGAACAGCTTTCAACTACCCATGCTCAAAATGTGCCCGCCTCTGACGTGCATTCCCCTATGTAATACATGGGTCTCTTACATAAGATTTGCATGTTTCCTTTGCTGGAGAAGCCATCACTTTGGGAAGAACCTCTCTGTTCTCTCTTCCTGTTGAGGCTAATAGAACACTCTCCACTCATTTAAACAAAGAAAAATTAGTTTGGCATTCATGTTTTTCTTGTTATGAAAAACACAGACAATACTGACTAACGCCAAATACAATGTTCCAAACATGACCTAGAGAGGATAGGGACTAAATTTTGAATAAAGCACGGGCTACATTCTGAGAGCTTGTTTTGTTTTATTTTTTAAATCAAATTGATATATATTTTGAAAATATTGTTTATTTTTTAATTAGTCAACTTCCAACTACTTTCTTTAAACTAAAAATAAAAAATTAAAAGCTAGCTCTCCCCATTCTTCTAGTTACTAACTCAAAAGCAAAGCCACACGGCTCTGTAAAAGCCTTCTTACTAGGTACATTTCCTTTATGAGTGTGCATCCTCCATCTTTAAGTGGCAGAAGACTTAGCAACACCCTCAGAACACACCTGAATTTCACTTCCTCATTCTTAGTTATCATTTTACTAGAACACATATTTACTCCTAAAAAAGTTCCATGGTAATGGTTCTTAAACATCACCCGCCATGTCATAGTGCTAGAAAGTATGACATAATACTCTGTACTCCAGCTGTCTACATGTGGCATGAAGCAGAAGTTTTGAACTCCTGTATAAAAATGTCAGCTGTTAACACTGACATTGTTGTGGCACCCAAGTGACCTGCCACACGTCCAAACATGTTCATGCCAGGACCATGTCAACCACCACAAAAAGGCCTACAACAGTTGCTAACAACAAAAAAAAAAAAAAAAAAAGAAAGAAAGAAAGAAAAAAAAACCAGTTGCTAACAATTATAAAACTTATCCTTATCTATTGCTAAATTTGGTGATCGTACCTCTTGAAAATTGAAAACACCACATAGAATGAGTAGCTCAGAATGTAAAATTAAATAAATAAAAAGCACAAGAAATGCTCTGTGTGTGTATATGTGTCTAATATTTTCCTTATTTTAAGTTCTTTAAAACATTAGCAGCTGCTGGGAATACAGACTGGTGATAGACTGTTTGCCCAGCATGCTCAAAGCAGGACTTGAATTCCCAGTACCACACACTTCACAAAAAGAGGCCAGGCCTGAGAGGTAAAGCACAAGGATCAAGAGCTCATGGCCTGCCTGGGCTACAGTGAGCACCAGTCTTCCTCAGCAGCTTAGTGGCAGCCCACTTAAAACAAACAGGTTTTTAAAGGGCCAGGAATAGAGTTCAATGGTAGAGAGCACTTGCCTACATTCGCAAGACCCTGGGTATGATCAGCCCCCAGCACCACAAAACAGAGCAGACACTCCAGTGGTTGTCTTGGATTGTGGGAAGGTGAGACAGTTGGCCTCTTTGCCTTTCACTATCTTATAGTCCAACAGGTGGTGTGGGAGAATTGCCTGTATTCTGTCAATTATGTTTTAAATAAATGCTGATTGGCCAATACCCAGGCAGGAAGTATAGGTGGGACAACCAGACAGGAAGTAGAGGCAGGTCAAGGAAAACAGGAGAATTCTGGGAAGAAGGAAGTTCCCTCTGCAGTCCTGACCCAACCACAGAAGAAGCAAGATGTGACTGCCCCGCTGAATAAGGTACTGAGCCACATGGCTAACACTGATAAGAATACTGGGCTATATAAGTTATAAGAGTTAATAAGAAGCCTGAGCTGATGGGCCAATCAGTTTATAACTAATGTAGACCTCTGTGTGATTTCTTTGGGACTTAACGACTGCAGGATCCAGGCAGGACAGAAAACTCAGACAACAAACAGGAATATGAATAACTAGCTAGGTATTTCCTTGCCTCTATATCAGAGTCTCCCTCCAGTTTTCTTTATACTAAGAAGTGGATCCATACAGGTCATATCCAAAAGTCCCCTTCCAGGACCAGGTGTGATATCCCAGTTTTTAATGCCAGCATTTAGGAGGCCAAGGCAAGTGGATTTCTCTGAGTTTGAGGCCAGTCTGATCTACATAGCAAGTTCCAGGCTTGCCGAAGAGACACAGTGAGACTCTGCAGCAAAACAAAACAAAAACAATTCTGCTTGCATATACATAATGGGGAATATTACAGAACTCAATGTGTCTAGAGAAAGCAAGAAGGAGTGGAATATACTGCCTGACAAAGGTTGAAACAAGGAATGACACATAAACTACTGCAGTCCAATGAATAAAATCAGATATTCCCACACAAAAACATAGAATGAAATAAAAAGATTATTTGGCATGAGCTAGTCTTCTTTGTAAAAAAAGAAAAAATGATAATGTTTCTCTTTTTAGGAAGGCAGGAATTGTGGAGTTTTTTTTTTTTTTTTTTTAGATTACAAAGAAGTATACATTAACTATATTACTCAAACACTGGCTAAAATAATATTATGAAACCAAGTAGCACCTCCAGCACATCCTATGTATTAAAAACATTTGTCTATATTTGAAACTTCTAAGTTTGGGGGTAAATGATATTCAGTCACTACCTCTAATTTCTTCTTTATCTTTCTTTTGGGGAGCAGGGCTAAGGCAGGATCTATCTCCATAGCCATGGCTGTCCTGGAACTCACTACATAGACCAGGTCACGAGCTCGCAGACATCCGCCTGTCTCTGCCTCCTGAATGCTCAGATCAAAGGTGTGCACCACCAAAATCTGGCTACTTCTAACTTCAACAAAATGTCTTATTTAAGTTAAATATCATTTCAATTTATCACAAAATACATTATTCCAAAATAACTTACAAAATACAACATTCAACCCAAAGCAGAAACATTCAAAGCCATGAATCTAAGCACCTATCTTACATTGGCCCCAAATCAACAGGCATCTTTGAACAAAAGATAGGTGTGAGAGCAATGTAACTACTGAACGAAGTAAGCACACTTAAAGGGGTAATTTCCCATGTAAAACAGGGAAAAATTACAAACATAACACAACTAAATATAAAGAGTACTTAAAACAGCACAATTATGCAGCAGAATTTTAAAAGTATAATTGCAAATATCGTGTATTTTTTTTTTATTACCTGCTTTGCAATTTCTCTTAAACAGGCTACTCCTTGTTCAAAATTGGGGAAAGCTACCGAGCCATACTTTTGGTATTCAGGGATTGGTCTGATTTTTATTGTAGCTTCTGTTATTACACCAAGAGTTCCTGAAAAAGAAGGGGAATAATCCAATATCACATGACAGTTTTCTAAAGCCATATTTAAATCTATTTAATCAACTGATTCTGTTGTTTCATTCTATTACCCATGTTAAAACTATTTAATTCTTTGACTTGGGGAATAATAGCTAATCAGGTATTTTTAAATGAGCAATTAAGCAAACTTTATAATTTCAAAAATGATTTTAGACTCTTCTCTTTTAATGTACAAATATTTTAAAACATTTCAAGATTTCTCTAAGAAAATTAGTTTTAAATGTTTTTTTAAAAAAAGAATAGAGTAACATTACATCTCATACATACTGACAAAGGTGTACTCTGATGCATCTATGTTTACTCTTAAAAATTTCCTGGAGCAGAAAGAAATTAACTTTCTTAAAACTTTAAGATGAGTGAAGGATTGCCTTGTTTCCTCAGATTTAATACATAGAAAGGCAAAGGCATTCCTGAGAAGCTCTTGTAAGAGAGAAACAGAAAGTATGACGCATGAGAAAACCACCAGTAAGACAGTCTTTACTGCTTGGAACAGGGAGAGATTAATCTTAAAGAAAAATAATAAACTAAATATAAGCTTTTATCAAAATATTTAAAGAAATTACTAAAAAATAATGTTCACAAAAAACCAATGTTTTCAAGCCTGTGGTTTCATATGTACAAATAGTGAAATTAATAACAGCATTAGCAAATTTTTTAATGATTATTTTAGAAAGTATAAAGAGGGATGTGAATGAAACTGAATAACTCAGTTATAACACTGGAAATAAAAGTTCAAGAAATGTTTGGCATCCCTAGAATGGCCAAGATGTAACACAGGGTTAAAGACACATCTGAGTCCATACAGTATAAATCAGATTAATTAGATTATTATATATTCATTTTATATATGTTACTTCTGTTTTATTTTTAAATGAGTCTCTTATAACTTATATGATCATAAAAATCTCTGTAAGTTTGCCCAATTAACATTTTAATATAAAACAAATATAAAATTTAAAATATAAATAATAATTTCAACAATAAAATTCACCCATTTAAAACCCCAGAAGCCCTCAAAACAACATGATGGCTATTGTCATCCTCTTGGCTACCTACCATAAATACATGGTAAGACCCTAACTGCCGAAGACATAATACCCTGGTTCCCTCCGGCAAACACAGAAGTTATACTGGAACTGTCCTGGAAGCTTCCTCCCTGCGCATTACCTTCTACAGTACTGGACCCTGCGTGCTACAGTACCAACCTGCCAGGCAAGGAGGATCCATGGGTGTAATTGTGGCATGGCCATTAGGGAGACAAAGAACTGTTTGATTGCATCTGAAGCCTGATCCACAGGAGTATGAGTAGCCTAGTACTGTAACACTGGGTCAAAGTCTATGGCTGGGGAGGGCATAGACCCTGTACGTGTGCAGAGGGGCTGGCGGGGGTATTCCTGTTGTTTTCCTACAACAGTGACAACAGTAAACTACCTTCTAAATAGTAATGTTTATACCTATAGATTAGTGCAGCTCTCAAGATCAGAGAAGCCTCTTTTTGCAGTGGACTTCAGTCTGTGCAACACGGCTAACATGCTGAGAATAATAGACTGTGGAGTACTCAGGGAACACTGTGGAAGAGTCAGAGGATGGAGTGGAGTGCTGTCAGATGCTGTTATCTGGACATGGTATGGTTGTTGTGCTCATGAACTCAGAGCAGCTATGTTTACCTGCACAAAGTCAAGCCAGTCAAAAATTCCAGCATAGAGAGACAGGTGCTCATAAGGGTCTACCCTAGCTGATGATGCTACAGGACGGGAGATGTGGCCACTGATAGGTGTCCTCAGTATACTCACATGTATGCACAATCATTACTATAAACTAAATTTAAACCATTGTGATCCCTCAAACTGTACCAATTAAACAGCCATGATCCATTTCCATACCCCCACCCTAGCCAACTATTCATAAATATATTCTGCCTTTACTCATATTCCAGATACTTTATATATACTTTAATATATATATTAATGCCAGAGCAGCCTAAGCTAAAGAATAAGACCTTGCCAAAATAAAATGAAAGGAAGGAAGAAGGGAGAGAGAGAAGGAGGGAGGCAGGCAGACAGACAAAAAAAACACCAAACCAGATTTTTAAAATATCAGTGGGGTGATAGAGGGAGAAGAGAGAAAAGTAGAGCAATTAGTGACTAAAGAAAGTATACATAAAATGACACCCAGAGAACCTCCATACAACAGTAATGCCAAGATACTATCTATAAAGGACCAGAGTCCTGGCTATAAAGAAGTTTGGAAAATGCTAAGAACCAAGCCGGGCATGTAATACACACCTTCAATCCCAGCACTAGGAGACAGAGACAGATGAGTCTCTGTGAGTTTGAGGCCAGACTGGTCTACATAGCAAGTTCCAGGACAGCCAGAGTACATAATAAAAAGACTTTGCCTCAAAAATAAATAAGCAAATAAGTGAAGATGATGGTAAGAAACAAGAACAGTACTGGAAAAGCAAGGGGAATGCACAAAATACACACACATACGGCAAGGGGAGTATTCACACAAAAAAGTACCCACAGCCACCTACCTACAACCTATCACACACACACACATAGAGCTAACACCACCATCATACACAGCCGACCCATCATCATACTTGATATCTCTATCATGTTATTAAGAAACATAATTATTTGTTCCTTCTTTGCTGCCACTTTCAAAGATCAGAACTTGTGCCTGAATACCTTAATTATAATTGTTCTTTTGAAGGAAGCAGGCAAAAGAACCTTGTCCTAAGCACAGCCATTTTGACTTCAGACTCCAGTTTACCTGTAGGGTAAAACAAAGTTCAGGTTCCCAAATTTTAGGGGAGTTGAGAACTTTCCAATAGCTGACCAACCTCATTAGTCAACAGAAATAATCTGTTATGCCCCTTAGTCTAAATTATTATGGCTGTTCCTAAAAACAGACAGAACAAATGAGTCTGACTGGCTAAAGAGATTGCATTCTGTGTTGGTTGGCAATGGTGAGACACATAGGGAAAGTGGAAAGTCCCTACTCTTTGACTTCTGCTTCCTGAAAACTGTAACTGTAACATGGCAACAAATGTTTCTGCTTTTATGCTTCTGCCCCTGCTAGGGACTGAGTCCTTGTCCTGCAGCCCTGACATCAGTGACTCTGCTTGTGTGGTGACTTATTAAAGTCCCTGGAACCCATCCTGTTGTCTACTTCCTCCTGGCGCACAACAGACTTAAATATAGCTAAATGTTTCCAAACTCTATCTTTGGAAGTAAACAATGAGCTCTCAGGCTAACTTAGAAACACTTTCCTGTTTAAATTTATTTTATTCTTCTGAATTAAGGGCTGTCCCTTTCCCATTCCAAAATCTGAAAAACAGGCCCAAGTCTACTTCATGCACACCATATACCAATGTGTTTACTCAACAGCCTGCAAATCAGAAGGAACCACATATTTTAAAGTTATCCAACAGTAAACAAGTAAGCAACAGATACTGCTCGCAAAATAAAAACAGAAGTTTAAAATATACATGAATAAATGGAATTTAAACTTCCATTTTTTAAAAAACATCCAACACGATTACAAGAAAAACAAGACAGAAAGAGACTGTTTCATCAGTCATCCCACCTGGTAACCGGGACAAGATTAAACTGTAACATACAGAGCTGAATGTTTAAGCCCTAACCACTGTTTCCTAACATCACTAAAAATTTTGAAAAAACTAAGAAAAAAAGACCACACTCTGTTTAGAACTGTAAAAGAGTAAAGTGTAGGAGGAAGTTTAGTATAAATGTTCTTATTATAAAAGCTTTATGAGTGAGCTGGGCGTGGGAACACACGCCTTTAATCCCAGCAGAGGCAGAGGCAGGTGATCTCTCTGAGTTCAAGGCCAATCTGGTCTACAGAGTGAGTTCCAGGACAGCTAGGGTTACAAAGAGAAATCCTGTCTTAAAAAAAAACAAAAAACAAACAAAAAAGTTTTATGAAATATGAATTAAAAAACAGTAAATCATAAAATTGTATTATTCTTTAAAAATCTAAAGCATACCTTTCTTTAAAGACCTGATATCACAGTACACAGACTTTCCCAATATGAAGTCATAAACCTACATACTCTCCTAACAACTTTGCAGTTACACCAACCTTCAGATCCCATGATGAAGTGATGGATGTCAGGGCCTGTTGACACACGGGGTCCTTGGGAGCTTTTCTCTATCACACCCCTGGGGGTCACCATTTTTATATGAACCACCTGTTTAGTACAAGACACAGTGTAAACTCCAGGCATCTGTTAAATCTGTGTCGGTACTTGCAACACATATATTTACATTTGCAACAAAACACCACACATTAAATAGTGAACTAAGTGATAAGTTGTGATGCCCTTCAGAATTTTCATACCTTTTAGTGATTTGTATACTAAAGATAAATATAGTAATTTTCAACATTTTTCCAACAGTTAAACAAGATACTAGTATCATGACTTACCGTAATTTTAAGTCTAAAAAAGAATTATTAACACTTTGAAATTTTTAATGAGTTCTAAAGTAGCCACAAAGACTAAAATACTGGCCTTACTAAAGTTTTCGTACAAGCAATGCAAATTATGAGTTTCAAAGAATATAATACGTTACAAAGAAATTTCAAAATAAAATATGCTATATAACAACTTAGGTAGTAAGTGTGTTAATTGAAGAATCTTTTCCCCCTTAAAAATCTTTAGAAAAAAAATTAAATTAATTGACACTTTAATGTAAATTAAATAAATCTGATAGACTTTAATGGTCTATCAAGCACTTGCCTGACTTATAAAGCTCTTAATAATCTAATTGCTACCCAGAACTATTTTTCTCTACAACTGGATTTAGCTTTAATTTTTACAGAATAACAAGTATTGTCTCTCATGAGATAAACCTGATACTTCCATCAACAGAAATACTAATAAAAACCCTGAGGCCAAGAACAATGTTATCAGTATTACTTTAATTCCACAGCCTCACAGGCTTTTCTAAAGTAGTATCAACCACCCAGCATAGTGTTGCCTTTCTGTAACCCCAGGAACTGAAATGGAAATAAGAAAATTACAAGTTCTAGGACAGCCTGGACTAAATAGCAAGACCACATAGAAAAATGTCAGGTAAAATAAATATCGAAATACTGAAGATTTAAAGAAAAACCTTACACTTATGGACATGAGACCTGTGAAAATTTCATTTTATGTCTTTTAGCTGCAATATAATTCTAATACGGTTATTGTATTTTACAGAAAAGAACACTGAAGCTGAGAAAGGTAAACCAACTTGACCCCAGAAAAGCTACAAATGTAACAAATGGCACCCAAAACTTAATAAGGTGCCCATAGCTACAACACTGCCAGGCTCTCAGAGACTGCTCAATAGAGCCGTTTCAATGAGGTCTTCAACTGTACACAAAAAGAATTCCTTCAGAAAAGTAAATCAAGTCTCCTAAAGCAAGAATAACAACAATGTCACATTAAAAAACAAAGATGATGATCAAACTCTTGATGGACTTAAAAAATATTTATTTGCATATTTAGATACTTTGAAACGACTATAAATCTTAAATATTGGTCACTTTAAAAGGGATATCCTTAAATATGACATCACTATCCTTTAACTGCTTCTACTATGCACAATCAGTATTACTATAACCAAAAGAAGTGTATTTTAAAGAGATTTACCACTCAATCCTTAATATTTATTTGTTTATTTAGCCGTTTCAAGACAGAGTTTCTCTGTATAACAGAGCCTTGGCTGTCCTAGAACTCACTTTATAGATCAGGCTGGCCTTGAACTCACAGCATTCTGTCAACCTGAATGCTGGGGATTAAAGAGATAAGCCACCTTGACCAGCCCAATCCTTAATTTTTAAAGGCTCTAAATACTTAATCTGATTTTTTAAATAGCAATCACTAGACAGTAACTAGAAATACATTTACCAGGTCCTCAATATTGCCGTAGATGTTCTTCTTCATGCCTGACGCCCGAGTGGCTATCCACCCTCCCACAGTGCTGAATTCCAGGGAGTCTGGCTCATGACCTGTACAATAACCACTTTCTTTAAGCTGAAAAGCAAAAGTGTAAAATTTTAGAGCAAAACTGGTTCCATTTCACACAGCATTCAACACATTTACTCCTCCAATCTGTTTCTAATATTTTTGACACATTAAACCTGAAGACAACTTTTTTCTTTTTGCCTAATGAAAAACCTTTATAAAATGGGAAAAGCGTGGGCTAAAAAGCACTACCCTTCACATTATTTTGTTCAAGCCAGCTGACCCTTCCTGTGTCCCACACCCTTGAAGAGACACTTTAAATACTTATGGAGATCAGATTATACTTAAGCAACTGCCAACTTCACCTAACACTTTCAATAAATAAAGCACTTCATCTTTCTTTCTCCTCACACTAATAAAATATGCAGCAGGCCTCCAGAAAATCTAAGCAAATTGCCTGTACTTAATTCTCTCAAGGAGTCGTGTGTTTTAATGCTCAGCCATCTGGCTAGGCTTCCCAAATGCAATGTCATCATTTACTTGTGATGTGGACCAAGCATTCCTGTACATTAAATAGTCACTTGTTCCTCATTTTTCTGTATTAGCTTGGCTTCACCATCTGTACAGCACCTGAGGTTCAATGGATGCCCTTTACTGCAGCAACACCAAAGCCATTCCACTGAAATCATTTTAAAGTCTCAGCCATCTCCTGTCAAACGGTACAGACACCACCATCTGCATACTCGCTGCTGCCGGCACTCAAGCCCATCAATCTGTGGTGACCATTTGATCGTCATCCAGTGCAGCAACTGCTTTATTTCTCAAATAAGTCATGCAGAGATGTAGAGTATGTCAGCGATGTTTGTGCCCATGTATCAAAGAAAGTATGGATTCAAAGTTGTAACCAAAATGTGTAAGCCCACTAGCTTACACATAAATTAGGCTTCACATGCTAGCAATGGAAACTGTATTTTTATTTTGCTTATAGGAAGACAGAATTGAAAGAACATCACTTGTTACTTTTTTTCTTTACATATTCAATATATTTAAGAGGTTAGCAAGCTATCACAAATAAGCAGGGTTAAAATGAAAATTACCAATGTATTAGATTTCCTTACAGCTCCATCTTCAAACAACCTATATTGACATTATTTTCTCAGTTTTATTAAATTAGAAGAAAAGTATTCATAAACCCCTAACACATGTCACCTGATGGTGGCGATGAGTCAGGGTATTCTGTGTCACACGGTACACTTTAGATGACAGCAATTTATTCTATGACACCTATACCTCACTGAAACTATTAAAGAAATAAAACAAAAATATATGGCTCATAATTCAAAAAGCTTACTGGCTTGCTCTCCATGGCTTGCTCAGCCTGCCTTCTTACAGAACCCAGGACCACCAGCCTAGGGGTGAACCCACACACAATGAACCAGCCCTTCCCCATCAATTACTAAATGACAAAATGGCCTGCAGGTTTGCCTACAGCCTGAGCTTATGGAGGTTATTTTCGCAATTGAGGTTCTCATCTCTCCAATGACTCTAGGCTGTGACAAACAGACATAAAAATAGCCAGCACAGGAAAAAAATAGCTAGCAAAGGTGGCCAGACTGTTATGACACTACTCCTAAGTTTTGTTTTGGTTTGGTTTTTGAGACAGGGTTTCTCTGTAGCTTTGGAACCTGTCCTGAAACTCACTCTGAAGACCAGGCTGGCCTCGAACTCAGAGATCTGCCTGCCTCTGCTTCCTGAGTGCTGGGATTAAAGGCGTGCACCACTACCGCCTGGCTATTCCTGAATTTTAACAGACATTTAAGTTTATGAAATTACAGAGTTAAAATTCTCCTCTAATTTGAAAAGATAGGGGTCTAGCCATATATAGTACAATGTGGTATCAGAGTTAGAGAATAAACCATATATAAAAATAATCCATAGTATGATTGAATATGACATAGATTTGTTATTTGTTACTATCATTTATCAATATTCTGTAATAGTTAAAGATACTATGTGATATTGATTCTTCCATAAATTTAGCAGCCATGTTGGAAAGGGAAAATTTACTGGAAGAATAGTTTCTGTGCATTGGGCCTTAGATATAAGTATAAAGTTTTATAAAGGAATGTAATGAAGACCTGGGGTTGGGGCTACAAAATAAGCAATATTTGAGAGACGAGTACAAACTTCATCACTGAAACTTCAGCTTTTATAATGCTGGATTTGTGATTCCTATTATACAACCAAGGAGAAAGAACAGCTAGGAACTGGCTATGGTTGTCTACACTTTCGGGCAAAAATCTGCACCGAGGACAAGTTTGGAAATCTGCCATAAAAGGAATAAAGTTCAAGGTACCTGAATGAAGTAAACATGCCTGATAGAAATGAATGGGATGAAGTTCTAAATGTGTTACATTATTAACATACTCTAATATCATCACCATTTCATAGATGAAGATCTATAACTAGGATCTATACTTAAAGTTAAAAGGAAGGGCTAGGAGCTACTTGAAACAAGAACAAAACAAGATACTATGAGATTATTAATGATGTTACCTCTGGGAAGAAAAAAAAAACACACATCACCAGACTATTAGATAAATAAATCACCAGAGATTTAATAAATCCCTAAGGAAACCCCAAAATCTGAAACTGGTATGTTAGTGATGTACCTTAGTATTTAAGCATATTAAAGACCAATGTAATTTACAAGTTAAAGAGTTAAAATCTGCTACTCAACTTGTGTGCTTATGCCATTGTAAACCTTCTCTGAAGAATAAACAGGACACTTTAAGCTGGTTGTCTCAGCTGAGGTATAAACTAGAGGACTTGGGAGGGAGTTTAACGAGGAGGGGTCTGATGGGGACAGCTGCAGGCACAACTGTGAGGGTCTGTGTCACAGTGAGACAAACTAGCAGGTTTGTTTCATAAGCACCTACTAGAGAGAAATGCCATTAAATTTTAAGGGGATATGCTCTTTGAATTTTCATTTTAACCTTTAAAGAGGGAAGGAAAACTTAGAAAGGTTAAAATACTCCATCAAATGCTATAATAAAGGATATAACACTGGAGGCCTAAAAAGTCATTTTTTGTTATTAAAAAAAATGCTGTCAATAATGTCTTATCATTCCAGCTAGCAGAGGACTAATCCAGGGCATTCTAGATGTTTTTCATTGAAAATCATCAAAGTTCATTAGAAACTGTAATAATAAATCTTTTATCTTCACTATTTAAAGCCTGACTTGTTTGAAGATCTCTGATAAAAACTAACAGATCTGCTGGATGTTAAAGTAAGTTAACTACTATTCACCCATGGAGAAAAGCTGCCTGGCGGGTATTGGAGTTTGCTAGCTGTTCACCTTTTCCAAATATAAACTACTCATAAGTAAAACTTTTAATACTTCAAAAATCTTTTAGTATTGCAATAAATTTTTCAAAAACTGGTCACAAGTAGACAAAATTTAATTATTTCAAAAAAGCGGAAAGACAATTAAAATAAAATTAACCACCACACATTTCCTGTGTCTTAGAAAAGGTTCAGGGATAAACTATAATCTAATTTGAACGAAGCGACTGATGTGTCACCAACATATCCCAATTCCTAATTTTTGTTTATAAAAGCTGGGTTACAATCATCCTGACCATATTTGGAGAAATTTAAAAAATCAATTTTTAATTTCTGGGGGGACTCATTTATTTTTTGTTTTTGTTTGCATGTATGTCTGTGCACCACACACATACATGCAATGTCCACGGAGGCCAGAAAAGGGTGATAGATCCCCTGGCACTGGAGTTGCCATGTAAGTGCTAGGAACTGAACCCAGATCCTCTGGGATGGCAGTCAGTGCTCTTAAACTCTGAGCTATCTCTTTAGCCCCCATGAATCAATTCATTTTAATAATTACCTGCTCAGAACCCATAAACAGAAAATTTTAAAATTCACTCAAATACTGAGAAAGAGCAGAAAGATTACGGGTCCCAAAAGCAATGGCTAGCCTTAGTGCTCCTGCACACACTTCCTCCTCAGGGTTGGTCTCTTCACCTGTCCTCTCTTCTGCTAACTCTGACTCATCCTTGAGTCTCATTTTACTTTATCAGGTTTTGGAATTATACCAAGTAAATCAACTTCATTATGGCAATTTCATACATAATTTGTTCTTATTCATTCCTTTCTACGTCTCTTTTTAAATGTCAAGTCTCTATGACACATAATTGTCCAAGTTCTTCCTACTTGCCCCCATTTGATGAGACATACTGTCCATTTCTCCGATCTTCTATCCCAACAGAAGTCCCCTGAAGGCAGGGGATAGTTTCATTCACTACTGTATTCTCAGTTCTGGCTCAGCATACAAAATCTGAGCAGATTCACTGAGTGGCCAATGTCTTGTGAAAGGTACTTCTTTCAGACGTAGAATACAGCTAGTTAAAGAGATAACTTACCTGTCTTTCCAACTCTTGTCCTGTTAGCCCCGCCTCTACATGAGCTGTCAGATTGTTCTCATCAACCCAGAGGATCCGGTTCTGTTACAAAAGCAGAGAGGTCTCATTCCTATCAGCCATTAACGTTTTCTTAGGAAATACCTAACTTCCAAATTCAAAACCTTAGTGAAATGGCAGTAATCAGGGATGCTTACTCTGTGATGTGGCAACAAGAGCAATACATTATGCAGGCACTGGAACAGAAACACACACTCCCATCTTTGTGCAGACATGAAACTAAATGCAATTGTTTAGCTTAGGCAAGTAACTATTTAGTCTTAGTGAGTCCCTAATTGTAAAATGTAGACAGTATTGATATATACTAACACGGTTACTAAAGGAATAAATAGGATAGCCCACATAAAAAATAGTACATAGAAAACATCTATTTGTACTGCTGCTTAGATTCATATCTAAGAATCAAGATGGGGCAGGAAAAAAGACCTACTAAGATATTTAAATATAATACACAGCATCTCTGCATTAAAAAAAAATCTGAGAAAAAATAAAAAACATTATTCCTGCCTCACGTTGCAAAAAAGGAACTGAGCCAAGATGGTGGTGAACACCTGTATTTCCAGAGTTAGACAGGAGGATCAGGAGTTCAAGGACATCTGCAACTACCCAGAAATCCTATTCCAGAATAGGCTATTCTTAAACTATCGTGAAGGAACTGTCATTTCTTAGATTCCAGAATAAGGGAGCTGATGAGGAGTATTACAGTGCAACCATGCAACCATGAGTCAGCTACTATCAAGTTCAGCCACTTCCTCTCCCAGTGATATATGGCGTTAAAAAGCATACAACTAAGTCAGAGATGTGCTAAGTGCTGATCTGACCATTTCCCAAAGTAAACGTATCAAAATATCCCAAAGCACGTCCAATTGTGTGTTTATTTTTAAATAAAATAGAATGTATTTTAAAGAGCACATTACCATCTCTCTGTAAGATAAGCTTTCTATGGAGGAGAGGGAGGCAGGGGAGGAGGGGAAGTAGAAGACAGGAGGAAAGGGGGGAAAAGTCTAACTAGACTATACACAGGACCTATAAGAAGAGTTAAATGATATCAAGGAAGAGCAGCAGATAAAATCAAAGTTTGTTATTTCCTACTATAAACAGCCTAGTTTCTCTGTTGGGAAAAGGGAAAGTACACTTTCTGATAAAATGACACCTAAAGAGAAACGACCACAGTTAACAAGACTTTCCTAGAGTTCCATGAGAGCTAATCAACTATCATAAAGATACCTTTAAAATTAGGTGTGGACTACATAAATTAGTATAAGAAAATTATTTTGACTTGACAAGAGTGATTAAATATAGTAGTTACATGAGAAAAAAAAACTTTTTTTTAAAGAAGCAAACAAAACAGATGCAAAATAGCACATCAAAATTTGTTTTTAAGGTCCTAGAAAGTGAAGAAAGCAAATGTAACAAAGCATTAGGAAGTGTTCACTCTGGGCACAGGCCTACTATGACCTCTACCTTGCTGTTCAAAGAAGACTCAAATGAGAAAGCTCACACGAAGCTGTACTCAGGATCACTACTGATGTATGCAGGTAGAATGCAACCCTGATTGAAGCCTTACCACTGCACACCTTTGGACCTTATAAAAACCAGCTCTGCCACTCATCACCAGCAGATGTGCAAAAGCGGAGCCAAGTAGGTATGATCACTCAAGTTATTCATAACTAATAATAGTTTCTTTATAATAATAGACATCAACTTATCCACTGTCTCAATCTTTCAAATCATTTTTCTCAAATGATCATCTTACACACTAATTTGGCAGTACAATACCAAGATCTGTACCTTAGAACAAAGGAGCTTAGCTTCTGATTACCAAACATGAAGCTAAAAAACAGTATTAAGAAAATGATGTCTTAAACAGAAAACAACCCCACTATATCTTAGAATATCATATACCATCTGTGAAGTATCCAAAGAAATTATTGTTCTTGTCTCATCTGCAGGACACATCAAGCCATATGACACACTTGTTCCTCCTGTCAAAACAGGAAACAAAACTTTATGTTTAAATATTTTGCTTCTGTGGCATTTCTGAAACAAATCCCTACTATACAGAACACAAATGGCCTGCTAGCACTGACACCTATCTCTACTTTGCAAAAGCGAACACACTGAAAACAAACTCACCTTTATTTCATGCTGAATGTCAAAAACAGACTACTATGGAACTGAAAGCAATGGGCTATGGCTCCATCCCTGGACACGACTCACTCATGGAAAGCCCTAGCAATTTGTAGAACTCAAAAAACATAATTAGCAAAGATCTAAGCTAATGATGACCGAGGAGAGGTAGCTTAAAAGAAAAAAAGACAAGTCCTGAACAACTAGAAGTACAATCAACTCCTTACTACATAATAACTGTCTTTCTGTTAAAGTAACTGTCTTACTCAAAAAGCTTTAATAAATGCCAGATCATGATATTTAAAAACTAATTTTCACATTCTTTGGTGAAAAGTGATAGTAAAATAGGATAAATAATATATAGACATATTTAAACAACATATTCCCATTTCCTCTTAAGATAATTTGACAAAGGATGTTTTCTTAACAATGAATAATACAATATTTTAAGTTTTTAATTATATCTGCATCACTTCATATCAAAATAAAATTTTAGTTGCTATTTCCATACAGTCTATGTGGGGGAAAAAAACCTCTGGAATTCAATTTCCAGAAGACGTAATCTTTACACATCAGTGTAATTTCACCAGGCAAGATTGTCAGTCGCAAATGTGGCACTTGTGGCTATTTACAACCACTTGCTTATAACATCATTTTCAATAAAAGAAGAATTCATAGTTTAGTGGTACCGCGCTGCCTCTGTTCACTAACTAAAAGGAAGTATCAGCTGGAGAGGGAGTCTGGGGCTCCTAGGAATGCGGATCTGATCGCCACTCACCAATGACAACACAGTGAATGAAGGTAACTTCCTTTGCCTTATTTATTAAAGTCCTGCAGTCTACAACTATAACAACAAACTCAAAGACCAGTTTAAGATAGAAAGTAATGAATGCTAGCTTCCTGTGGTCGGAGGCACTGACTAGCCATCTGGTGAACTTTTAATTCTTACAGCGTTCCAGGATCACTCTGGAGCTCCAAAGACAACAGGTACATTTACACTTTGTTTCAGAAAAATAAAATGATCCCCACAGACATATAGACTAAAAAACTACTAAACAAACATTTTCTTATTTAACATTAAAGCACATCTTCAACTATGATCCATAAAAGGAAAAAAAACATGAACTAAAAGCAAACAACAGCTCAAGCTTTTAGGCAGACCTACGTACAACACAACAATCACTATAAGCCCATTTTTTTTACAATAACTACATTATAATCACAATACTTGTTCTCAATGGAATACAATTAAAAGTACAAATATCTTAAATAGAACAAATTTAATCATATTAAAATTGAAAAACACAATACGTACCACCAATTGGTATGATACAAAGGTTATATTTGCACGCTAGATTCACAATCTTAACTACATCATCATGACACACTGTTGAAAAGAAAAATGTATTAACTATAGGCATATAAATAAAATTTGCATACTCTTACAAACTAAGGGTCAATAAACTTGAAAATCTAAACTTTTTCCTTATTTACCTGTAACATGTTAAATGGTTGTATTAAGATTCTTTTCAACTCTGTATTTTTAACCATTGCAGTCTTTAAAAATTATATTAAAAATGTCTTTCATGTCACATTCTCAAACATTAATATCTCATATAAGGAAGGTGTCTAATTTTCAAAACCAATCAATTTACATTGACAAAAGCAATCTACAGCCCTTCCTCCAACATCCCACACATTCCTTTTCGGATCAGGGTCAAGCCTGGAATCACATTGATTCTAGCTGTTATGCCTTGGTAGTCCCCTCTAAACAGGCATTTCCTTATCTATCTGTGACTTTCAAGACAATGACACTTCTGAGAAACTTTAGGCAATTATTTCAAACTAATCTCTGAGTCTGTATGTTTCCCTAAGATCAAACAGAGACTAAACAGTTGGTAGGTATCCCACAGTAGTAAAGCCATGCCTTTTTCTCAGCATGGTATAACCAAAGACGTGTCTCATTTCTGGTAATCTAACTTTGCTCGTATGATTAGGTAGGTACTGTCAACCACTTAACTGTACCAGAAGGATGCTTTATTTCCTGTTGAAATCAATAACTATATAAAGACTATATAAACAGCGTATTTCTCATACTTCACCCACTAGTTTTAGCACTACTGCTTCTTTATTCCTACACAAACAGAGTAGCACATGAACTCCTTCTCTCTGTCTATAACTAAAGCTACCTAAATAACAAAAACTGCCAAGTGAGACGGTACTACTGCAGCTATCCTTGGCAGTGGGGCACGAGTGAGGTTTTAAGGAGGGAGCTATGCGGCAAGGGTCTCCTAAGATCAGTCTCACAGAACATTGATCACATGGAAGACAAAGCTTAGAGGCAAGGAAACTGAAAATTATAATATTAACTGCTAAGGTCCTGGACGAGAAAGAAGGGAGTTAGGAGAAACAGGCAAACTGATACATACTTGTGTAAGCAAAGGTCTTGTTTTACAAATATTATAATTATCTATTTCAGTTTGCACAGAGCTAGAAATACTCAGCCTTTGAATAATAGTTCCTTTGTGGGACAGGAAACCCAAAATCTTAACTATGCTAAACCACATACTCTACCATGAATCTGCAGGTCCACTTCAACTTTTAATCAAATTCTATGTTTAGGCTGTCACTATCAGCAGTTTAAAAGACAATATATGATGGTTAGGAATGGCTTCATAAATAAGAGCTCTTGCTTTGAAAGCATAAGAACCGAAGATAAATTCTCCACTACCTAAATAAGAAGCCAGGCATGGATGGATGTATGTGCCTGTAATTCTAGCACTGGGCACATGGAAGACAAAGGTAGGTAGATCCTGAGAGCTCAGTAACCAGTCAGCCTAGCAGAAATGGTAAGTTTCTGGTCCAGTGAGAAATCGTCTCACACGGCAGTAAGAGAGAAACAGAAAGATACCCAAAGGTCCTGCCCCGGCTTCTGTACACATGTGCAAAGGTATATACATACACATTCACAAGTATGCACTATACCATATACTGGGGGGGGGGGGACAGAAAGAAGGGAAGACAGGGAGAGAAATAGAGAGGGAATAAGAATAATTAAAGTTAATTTTGTTACAGGAGTGCCTGGAAACAAAAGACATCCACACTATATGATGTTTACAATGGAAAAAAGCCCTGCCTGAAGGGCATTGCCTCATCTTAAATCAGCAAAGTTCCACATAGTATAATTAAGATGCAAATTTAACAGATTTAAAGACAACTTCAATTGACTTCACAGGTGTCTATGCAAGTATGCATATGTGTGGAACTCCAAACTACAAAAGGAAACAACTATCTCCACATCTTGAAACAGCTAAATTCCACAATGCCTCAAAATGCATTGCTGCAAACTACAACCTTCTTTCAAAGCTTGTTCTTATTCAAACGAAAACTAGGTTTCAGAACCAGTAAGAAATTCATATTAAAATTAAATAAATTTCTCAGAGAACTGACAATGTGTTTGGAAACAAATTATTCTAAAACGATATAGAGTTAAAACTTACTTGGCCAAACAACTATATCAGGAATCCGCTCCAACATCCCTTCCCTGAGCAAAAATATCTCATGAAGACAATGACCTGTTTGTGGTTAAAAAGAAAAATGCAAAACAATTTAACTTACAGGAAGCTTCTAAATAATGTCAGAAAGCCAATATGAGCAGCCCCAGCGTGAGCAGCACCAATGTGAGGAACACCAGTGTAACCAGTACATATGTGAGCAGCCCCAGTGTGAGCAGCACCAGTGTGGACAGCCCCAGTGTAAGCAACCTACCATGAGCTCGGAACACTCGATCATCTGCTTCCTGTGAGTAGGAAATACGAGTTTCTTTAAGTTCCTGAAGGAAATCTTCATTTACAATAGAGGGAGGTACTTCACTAGGATTTAAGGATGCCTAAAAAATAAAATTGGTTTCTTTGACTTACTTCTAAATAACAAATTTTGATCCCCTCTGCTAGGAGAATGATTTTAAAATGCAGTTTTTTTTAACATTCAATATATGCTAAATACATAGGAAAGTATCAAGTCATAAAGTCCAACTTGGTAACAGTAGCAAAGTATAAATTGTTGGTTAATCATATCCCATAATATGTATAACAGGGAGACTATGCTTTCTCTTTGTTTCTCTGGCTCCCTTTGTAACTGACAATGAAGAGGCAATCAACAATAGAAAAGACAGGGAAGTCTTAAACCTCTAGTTTAAAAATATCAGGTGCTTTTTATATTGAAAAATTTCACCTATGGCTAAAATTTACCATCTCCTGTTCTTCTATGGCCATTTCTAAATTGCATAGAAAATTTCATGTTAAGTAATAAAATTATTATTGGGTAGTTTAAAAGTACATGACTTGGGGCTAGAGAGAGGCCCATCAGTAAGAGCACCTGACTGCTTTTCCAGAGGTCCTGAGCTCAATTCCAAGCAGCACTAGGTTGCCCGTAACCATCTGTCCTGGGGTCAGACTCCTGGTGTGCATGAACATAGAGCACTCACATGCATGAAATACATGAATAGAAACGCATGACGTAAAATAAACTTGTACTCAATTTCATCAAGTACCTTCAATCCAACCTTCAACTATAAAGTTAAAACCACATGCCATTCATCTTCTATGAGCCTCAGTTTCTTCACATGTTAATCAAAGTAATAACCAAACGTGTACTGCTACTATATGGAAATCAGATTAAGTAAACTAATTGTTGTGAAAAGCACCTAAGAGCTTGTCAAACTTATAAACTGGAATATAAAGAAAGTTAATACAGAATTTAAGATAAAGAATATATAAGAAAATACAAACAGGGACTGGAGAGATGTCTCAGAGGTTAAGAGCATTGCCTGCTCTTCCAAAGGTCCTGAGTTCAATTCCCAGCAACCACATGGTGGCTCACAACCATCTGTAATGGGGTCTGGTGCCCTCTTCTGGCCTGCAGGCATACACACAGACAGAACACTGTATACATAATAAATAAATAAATAAATAAATAAATAAATAAATAAATATTTTTAAAAAAGAAAATACAAACAAAAATGTCTGATATTTCTATTCTTTCTTAGTCTGTTAAAGTACTTTATTCATTCAGATAAATATTTACTTTTACTCCAAAAAGCCAGGCACTGTTCTAGACACTGTGGAAACAGTGATTAGTTAATGGGGATGGTGGTGGAAGGGTGTGGTCTTGCCTTCATAAAATTTATCCTATAGTTACTAAAAGGAAATAACCAAGAGAATTCTAACAAATATACTATCTGGCACTTTAAATTATTAAAAAAAAAACAGAAGTGCAGTTAGAAACATCATGTGGGCTCTGGGAACTGAACCCAGATTCTCTGCAAAAGTATTAAGTGTTCTCAACTACCAAGCCATTGCTCCAACTCCTAGAAACAATTACATGCTGAATACAGGACATAAGGCAGTCCATACTTATGAACTGAATATACAATTGGAGAGATGAGATGACTACCATGCATAGCAAAATAACAGTAAGAATAATGACAATATAAAGAAATGCCAAATATTTCACTGGTTTCATATGCATAAAGTTTAAGAATTTTTTTGAAGATTTTGGCTTTATTCTTTTCTGTAAAGACCTCATTATGTAGCTCAAGCTAATCTCAAATTTATAATCTTCCTGCCTCTACCACCCAAGTGTTGGGATTTCAGGCATGGGCCACTGACACCAGGTCAGATTAAAAATTTTTAACACCACTATAAAACTAATTAAAATATTGATTATCTTATTCACATTTTCACTAAATGTAATTCTTCATGTATCCTATCTGTTTTAATATTAAAAATTATATGGAATAATATTAAAGTATATCTTCACCTTAAATTAGCACATATTTATCCTAGATAACATTTACAATAATATCGGCCTCTTATTTTAATTTAAGCCTTGTGTAAAACCAACAGCTCTCACAGAATGAACTTAGCTTGCACTAAGTGCCACCCAGTACGAAACAAAACAGTTTTTACACTCAGCTCAATTTAGAATCACCAAGGCATAGAAAGTCCGCCTGATAAATCTGGCCAATTCTGAGGTTGGGATCTAGATCTCTAACACTAGAAAAACTGAACTAAACAAGCCCAGTATAATAGGCTTCTCAAGAAAACTGCACCAAACAATGTAACAAGCTATGATGAGAGCTGAGCAGGCATGAAAAGCACAACTGAGCATTTATAACTACTGTTTGCTTACTTTAGAGGTAGTTTTATGCTCCAGATTTACTCCAAGGGTTTTCTGGATCCAGTCTTTCAAAGTTGGTAAAGCCAAGCCACTGAGAGGGTACCTAAGGTACAAGAGATAAAGATTATTAGAGAGAGGTATCTTTATCTAAGATTAATTTTTTTTTTTTGGTTTTTCGAGACAGGGAGGTATCTTTATCTAAAAGTGAAGTTTAGATCTTGCTTCTAGGAATAATCAAGCAGTTCCTAAACGTTTTATTAACAAAACTGCTTGCATACTACATATTTAATTACAGAGTACCCAGATCCATGTTTGGGGACTTATTCCTGTATGGGTTTTGGAGAGAGGGGAGAACTGCCTACCCCTGAAGCAAATATGCCAAGTACCCACTTTCCCCATGCCCACCTTTAAAAGCTGACAGAATACACCTTTGTTCTTCATTTCCCTCATGTCTTTAGATCAGAACTCAGTGATGCAGGAAATGAAGCCTTAGGGAACCCATGCTGTTTACAGAGGGAGCACTGCAAACCTCCAGTCTCTAAAACCAGCAGGTAAATTCTCTACTTCTATCACTACCTAGATTGAGGTTCTCAACCTATGGGTTGCAACCCCTTTCACAAGGATCGTCTATCAGACATGCTGCACATCAGATATTCAGATTATGATTCATAACAATAGCAAAATTGCAGCTGTGAAGTAGCAACAAAGATTATTTTATGGTTGGGGTTACCACAACATGAAGAACTATATAAAAGGGTCGCAGCATCAGGAAGGTTGAGAACCACTGCCCTAGATAAAGTCTCTTAAGAGCACCACCACATCCTCTCTGCTCTTAATTAATGCTGTCCTAACAACCTTAAAGGTGTTTGTTACCTTTCATTATAACCCAAACCCAGATGGAAATTACCAGACGTAAAAAGAAATTCACTTCCAATAAATCAAAAGCATGGAGGACCAGCGGTGGCTGGATGAATCTTTTGGATCCTGATTCAGAAAACTATCTTTAGAAATCTTTTGTAAGAAAACAGGGCCAATGAGAATATGGATTAAAACATTAGATATTTTAACAAGCTTTGTTACTTTAGAAATGTGATCATATTAATTAATATATAAATGATTATATTAGAGCGAATTTAAAAAATATAAAAGTATAGGCATTATGATGCCATCAGAATTTAAAATATAGGATATAAGGGAATATAGCAAAATGCTGGTAACTTTACGCTTAGAGGAGGAACCATCATACTACCATTCCCTTTCTCATGTGTTTAAAAAATATAGGAAGAGGAAAAGAGGAATAAAATAAACTTAAAAAGCAGGGTTACCTTTTCCCAGTCAGCTCAACCTGGCCCTTCTTATTGAAGAAGAACTTGGAATCATTATAGCCCCATCCATTCCATTTCATAACTTCTTGCCTAATGCGAAGAAAAACATACATATGTATATACACATACAAGACCTATGCTCGTGCTAGAGATAGCTCAGCAATTAAAAGTGTGTGCTGTTCTTACAGAGGAGTTTGGCAACCAGAACCCACATGTGGTGGCTCACAACCACCTGGAGAACTCAACACCTCTAGATTCCACGTGCACGTCACATACCCACATACACCACTTTCACGAATATTCTCTCTCTCTCTCTCTCTCTCTCACACACACACACACACACACACACACATACACACATATAATCCACAGAGACACATAAGTGTATATATATCCTATATACATAACATCATACTATCAGCAATCACCACCATTTCCACTTTAATACTAAAAGAACGGGTAAAACTACAAAGGCAAACCCCAAGATCAACTCACTTATACAGACTTTCATGTGCCGACCTCTGAGCCCCTCAGCCCTTTGTCTTACTCTAGTACTCTTCCCAAAACACACAAAGCATTCACGAACTAGCCTCACAATGGGTATCCGTGTGCGCACCATTGCAGGGGTAAAGCAAAAGATACTAGAAAAAATATCATAGTCTCTCATTTCAGTCTTTTCATGTTGAGTTTACCTCTTAAAACTAATATTACTATTCTTTATTTTTATCTCTCTCCTCCACCTCTCTCTCTCATACATACACACACACAAAAACTAAACATAACTTTAACTCTTTTAAAAGTAACTTTTGCTAAACATTTCAAAACCAACCATTTAAAAGATCTTATATCTATTACTATTAGTTGAAATAAAAATGAGAACATATTAAAATGCCTACATATTAACCATTCTAAATATAAACTCACTGTAATAAGCAGTAGATGCTACACAGTGAGCTACAGTCAATAAATTTAATTCATTCAAAGACAAATGAAAAGAAGTGTGATTATAAGATCAATACTTCATTTTGTACACTAAGTTTAAAGCATGGGAGATAGCCTGGCAGGCTCAAAATCCTGAAACTGATCCTTAATAGTGTAAGTAAATAAATCGTAAGATGGTCTGAATAGCTGTGGTTAAAACTAGGGACTCACTGACTTTCACATGTGCTAGGAATACATCAGAATTTTTAATTTTTTGCTATAATGAAAAAGACCAATATAAGGTAGTTCAACTACTAGCAGACACATTAATAAAGCAGATTTAAAATATAAGTGCTACCTTTTAGGCCATAAATCAAGTCTTAACAAACTAAAAAGAAAATGATATTTTATACCCTAGTCTTAGAGTGATAGCGAGAAACTACAGAGGCTATACAAACTCATGGAGGCTGAACAATGCACTTTGTGGGTAACCGGAGAAATCAAGGGGGAAGTTTAAAAATTACTAGACTCAAATGAAAAAAATAAAAAAAAAAATCAAACCTTATCGGAACCTCTGAGATAGAGCAAAGGTGGTTCCGAGAGCAGCTTACATGTCTGTCTTTACATCTCAACTGCAGAGCACATTCAGACCTAATGAACTCCTCAGGAAGGGAACAACAGGTCAAGCCTGAAGGCAGTAGATGGGAAAAATAATAAAGACCAGAGGCGAGGTTAATGAACAGAAACTAAAACAGAGGGTAAAGGACCACAGAACCAAAGTATTGGTACTTTGAAAATATAAAAAGACATAGAAAAGTCAGTGCTAGCTTTATAAACCACCTACACTCTTCAACTTCAACATAACTACCAATCTAGATCTACAGATAACCACTAATGACTAAATTGGCTTTCAATATTTCATTTTTCATTTCCAAATGCTAGATTTCATAATTTCAAAGACCACTGTCATCAAAATCAGTAATGCACATCACACAGGAAATACACTGGTCTGAGCATGTGCAGAGCCACACTTAAGTATGGTGTTAGTTTTGGTTTACAAGAGTTCCTGGTGTGATCTTAGCTACTGAAATAAATTAGTAGCAAATGTTTCAGCTATGCAGCTTGAAATGAAAATAACTAAATGAAAATTGTTTTCTATTCAAAAAGGCTAATGTCATATTAATTCAAAATAAGCTTGCCACTATACCCAGCTAGAAACCCACCTCTTTTTAAATACAGTAAAAGCACTAATTCAGAATAAACAAAGATGCTCTCACGAGAAAGTACTTTTCAAATTTTCCGTAATTCTCAAGGAAGAAGGAAACAAAAATTGAGAAGTAAATTTTTATAACAATTATTGGCATAGACTAAAGGTTTTTCAAACAAACACGAGTATAGTACAATGAATCAGATACAAGTAACCAAATATGTACAAAAAGTCTCTATACATAAAGTTGAGACAAAACCAAGAGTTTTCTCTTGACAAAACCATTGAAATAATGGTTTCCTAGAACTAGGAATGCAGAGGCAAAAGATCACAAGTTCAAGGCAAGTCTAGGTTACATAGTGAGACCCTATCTCAAAAACCAAACAATAAAAATAACAATAAAATCATGGTTTGTTATCAATAAAATATAGTCTCTATAAAAAAAGACTGCTCAAACATCTCAAGAGCATCTACTCAAAGATTAAATTTATAGATAGGTCACATTAATGCCTATTTCCTTTCTATTTTAAGACAGAGTCTCTACATAGCCCTCACTGTCCTGGAACTTGCTATGTAGACCAGGCTGGCCTCAAACTCACAAAGATCTGCTGGGATTAAAGGTGTGGGCTTCACCTGGCTTAATATTTTCTCCTAATCCTACAACATTCCTACATAATGTGGAGGACGGTGTAGAATAGACTTCTAGGAATACCTTTACAGGAAAACTTCACAGCTCAGGGCTGGAGAGATACTTAGTATATAAAAACATTTGATGCCTGGCACTCAAACCTGAGTTTAGAGCCCAGCGAGGACATAAAAAGTCAGGTGGAAGGAAGAGAGAGCAGAAAAAAGAAGACAGCTGGGGTGTTTCAATTAGTTGCCAGTCTAGCTCCAGGTGTAGGTAGAGCCCCATTCTCACAGTAGTAAGTATACAAATAAGGAGATGGGAATGCTAAAGAAGATTTGGCCTTACATTTCAAATTAGAAACTATCCTAAAGAATCTTCAAGCTTTCTGTTGGAAGCTAATGGTGTGTTCTTTCTCTTTAACCCAATCAGAAAATTCTTTTTGCAAAAGTTTGAACCAGAAACATTCCTTGTGTTAAAGGCCTGGTCCCCAGGCAAGGTGTTATGATAAAGCCCTTAATAGGTGAGGTCTAGTAGGAAGTCTAGAGAGAGTCAGTAGGGACATGTCCTAAAAGGGGTTGTGGCTCCCTGGTCTCTTTCATACAGTCCAGGCATAGAAGGACTAGTCTGCTCTGCTACGTGCTGCTTAGTGTGATGAGCTGCCTCGCCACTGGCCCAGTCAGGAAGGATGCCTCCATGAGCCAAAGCAAAGCTTTGGGGATTATCCTCCTGGGTGGAAGACTGCAAGTGCTTTGATAGGATTACAACTCCAGCATTGCCAACAAGAGTAGAGCTCCACGTGTTACAAGACCCCTTAGAATCTACTGTCCTGTCCCACCTTTTCCAGATGAGGAAGTTTACAGAGAGAGGCCATGGTCACATGGCTAAGTTGTGGTCTTCAACTCTGTGTCCCAGCCTCATGACAATATCTGAAACCCACTAAATGACACCCTCAGGAAACCACTTTAATATTTTCTCCAAGGCACTAGTCTGTGTTCCCACTGTAGTCATTCTACAGAGCTTAAAGGAAACATTGAAGAAGCAATGACTATGGCTGTATCAAGAAGGCAGGCACACGATACGCCCCCCCCCCCATCACATAGTAACCGGGCTGTATGGCATAATAATCCCAGGGCACCAGAAAAACTAAAATAAAGAATTTCAAAAATCCACAGTTTTCCCAAATATTCTGATAAAAGAAAGTTTTCCACAACTAAACCATAGGTAAATAAGTATAATCTCCTATTTTCTGGAACTAACTACACCCAATCTGATGTCTTCAAAACCTGATTCTTCTTACTGTCAAAAAGAAGACGGCTTGATTTTACTCTATTAAAAAAAGTTTTGCAAACTTGCAGAACCAAGTAGTACAAATATGAAAAAGAATTATTTGTTGCAATAAAACGAATACTTATAAAATAGCATCACATATACACAAGGTGGCAGTATTTCCTAGGAGATGTGTAGTTTGCAAACACCATTTTCCCACTCCCCAGGCCTGTTACTTGGCCATTCAGTGGAATGTTTAGACCTAGTACTGCTAATCCTAATCCGTAGGGAGCTCCTTTATTTAGTCTTAATGGGAAGGCTCACTTCTGGGTCTGTACCTAGATACTGATCATTACAACCCCACTCCTCATCAATAGTAAGTTACAAGCTTGGGGGTGGGGGGATCTAAGTATGTGGCCTCTGCCATTACTTTTTCTAAGAAAGGTATTCTCATGCAAAAACCAGAAAAAGGAAAAAGATAATTCACCTACTTTTCTCTGGGTTAACAAAATTTTTAAGATCAGTTAGCTAATAACTTTTAAAGCTTTTCTGATAAAATTCTAATGAAAGACACCTCACTTCTTACTCAGTCAAGATGAAGGTAAGTTTTGACCAGTCTGTTACAGTTTGGAAGCGTGAGACAAGAGGAGTCAGTAGTCCCAGTGCTGGCCAAGCCAACCTCAGCGTCAATCACACAATGTACAGAAATTCTAGCCCTCCTCAAGATTCTCTAATAAAGATCTTTATTCTCTGGCTTGTGATGAACTGCTTCAAGGCTGGTACAACCAGAGGAGATCATGTGAAATAGGAAGTGATGAGAGCCAGGCACTCAGGAGGCAGAGGCAGAGGCAGGAGAATCTCTGTGACTTCGAGGTCAGTCTGGTCAATAGAGAGAGTTCTAGGACAACCAGAGCTACACAAAGAAACCCTGTCTCACAAAACAAAAACAAAAACAGTGATGAGAAAGATGGCAATACACACACACAACACACACACACACTTATTGAAAAGATACACTATTAACAAAAAAATCTCATAGACCAAGGTCAATATTGTAGAGGGAGAGAT